CAAAGCCTAAGGTAAAAATAATAGCTAAGCCTAATAGAAAGCATAAGTTTATAAAAAAATTGCCGTAGGATTGAACTTGTGATGAGGCATAAATTCAAGAGTAATATATGACTTTTAGCCTGAAAATGAATGGAATTCGGCCTCAGGAAATTAATGAATCTTCTCTTTTGCATAGAAAAAATTTAAATTTAGGACCTCAATTATCGGGGTAGAAACTCAAAATTGTTTTAAACTTTGGCAACATACTCACTTATCTTTTCCCACCCTCTTATTCGTACTATATTTAGGATGGTACTATAATATTACTTAAAATTTTACTATTATACTATTTAACATGGTACTATAGTACTATACTACATAGCATGGTACTATATAGCATCGTACTATAACACTATATAAGCAAATAATAAAAGCAGCCTAAGCTTGGTATTAAAAAGCGACATAGCCTTTTCGAAATACCATCATGTTATATTATTTAAGGATGGTTATTACCTATTCAAACGGCTTCGATTACACTACGATAGACAGACCAAATAAAAGTTCAGCTTTATAACAAAAAAGTTCAAAATCTTTTATTCTTACATCAAAAGCCTAGAATTTAATTTGCATTTTATAACCAACGTCGTAGCCTAGGCCTTAGTCTAGGACATAACCCTAGCTCAAACTCAATTCTTAGCCTAAAATTATAAGCTTAAATCTGAGCTTAAGGATAAGTCTAGACTAAGTTGCAACTTAAGCCTAAGGTTGAATCGGAGCCTCAACACAAGCCTATGCCTAAGCACAAGCCACGAGACTGAGCATAAGGTTGAGCTAAAGCCTAAGCCGGAGCTTGATTCTGAGCCTGAGCCTGAACTTAAACCTGAGCATGAGGATGAACTTAAGTTTGAGCCTGAGGCTGAGCCTAAGCCTAAGCCTAAGCCTAAGCCTAAGCCTAAGCCTAAGCCTAAGCCTAACCCTAAGCCTAAGCCTAAGCCTAACCCTAAGCCTAAGCCTAAGCCTGAGCCTGAGCCTGGGCCTGAGCCTAAGCCTGAGCCGAAGCCTGAGCCTTAGCCTTAGTCTTAGCCTAAGCCTGAGCCTGAGCCTGAGCCTGAGCCCGAGCCTGGGCCTAAGCCTGTACTTTGGCCTTAGCCCAGGCCCTAGCCCAGGCCTTAACCCAGGCTCTAGCCCAGACATTAGCCCGGCTCTAGCCCAATCCGTAGCTCAGGCTTTAGGCCAAGCTTTAGCTTAGGCCTTAGTCCAAGCTTTAGCCCAGACCCTAGCCAGGTTCTAGCTTAAGCCTTAGCTCAGGCCTTAGCCCAAGCTTAAGCCTAAAAATTTATGTTTAAGCCTAAACAAGAATCAAGCTTAAAACTAAAATTAAAATGCCAGTCTAACTTCAGACTAAGCCTAACTCAAACTAAAGTCGTGTCTATCTTGATCACAAAAGGGTTCAGACCACCACCTCTCAAGCCTTCAAAACAGCGTTCGAACCCCCAAACCCTGCCACTCACTCCAACACCACTGTTTAATCGAAACAAAACGTCACTTTCATTCCCGGCTCGAAACAATCGAAAGGCCAACAAGTCCAGAACACAAATCAACCCAAAACAAAGAAATTTGCAAGGATAAAAAGACAAATCGGCTCTTTTCAACACTTTCCAAGGAATGAATGGGTTTCAGGTGGCATTGTCTCATAAAATACGATCGTCTTTGAAACACTTTTGAATAATCAAAAAAGTAATAGTGAAAGTCAAAAGAAAAAGTTAAGTTCAACCGGGGCCGGGCGCTTGGAGGGGGTGGACGAGGGGGGGGGGACGCAAAGTAGGGTAAAAATTACCTTGAGCTTGACCCCGGAGGTGAGAATGCCCATGGGCTCGGGGTAAGTCTAGGCCTGCGTCTATGCTTGAGCCTGGACTTGAGCCTGAGCCTGAGTCTGAGCCTGAGCCTGGACCTGGACCTGGACCTGAGTCTGAGTCTGAGCCCGAGCTTGATACTGAGCTTGAGAGAATCCCCCGCTACAGAAAAAAAAATTTTTGAAAAAAGTTAACGTGGTCCCCCCTGTGGATTTTTTGGAAAAAAAATTTTTGCAAAAAGATTGGCACAGGTATATTCCAAAAAAAAAGTCCCCGCTCGCCTCTGAGTTTACCTAAAAATACATTTTAAGCATAAAATATTATTTTAAACCTAAAAAACTAATTTAAGTCTAGCCTTGATTCTTAAGCCTAAATTGACATTTTTTTAGACTAAAAGCAAATTTGAGCTTTAAGTAACATTCTTAAGCCTAAAATTAAGCTTTAAGCCTAAAATTCATTTTTAAGTTTAAAGTTCATTTTTACAAATTAACTTTTATTTTTAAGCCTAAAAAGTTAATTAAAAACCAAAAATAGCATTTTCAAGCCTAAAATTAAGCTTTAAACCTAAAATTTATTTTTAAGCATAAAGCCCATCCTCACGACAAAAATTTTGCTTTTAAGCCTAAAATTTAATTTTTATTGCAAAATTTTCATTTATAAGCCAAAAATTCATTCTTAAGCCTAAAATTCATTTTTCGGTGTGAAACTTTATTGTTAAGCCTAAAATTTATTTTTTTAGTTTTAATTTTTAAGCTTGAAGGGTCTTTAAACCTAAAAAAGTTATTTTTAAGCCTAAAACTAATTTTGATATTAAATAACTTTAAGCTAAGTTTAACCTATAAAAAGATAAAACGAACTTCTTCAAAATAAAAAAAAAATTTTAAACTATGTCTTTAAAAGAACGTAAAAGCTTAATTTTTCCTTTATCTGTATTCTTTTATAATTTTGTTGCTTGGCAATAAGAAAAATTAAAAATTCAGGAACTGTTTAAGCTAAAAAAAGGTTAAAAAGTTTAGAAAAACAAGGTTTATTGGCTACGTGGTAAAGTGCTAATGAACTTATATAGTATACTAGATATAAATAATTCTAAACGGAAGTTTAGTTTTTATAATATAATGTTGGCATCGGCCTTATCTTTGGCAATTAATTATTTAAGGTTTATGAAAAAGTACGTGAATCAAAGGCTCTACTAACAATAAGATGAGGTCAGAATAGAAAGTAATACCGTACAGTTATAGTTGTTCTGACCCTAGCTTTAGCCCAGAGCCCTAGCCCAGGGCCCTAGCCAAAAGCCCTATCTCAGAGTCCTAGCCCAGAGCCCTAGCCCAGAGGCCTAGCCCAGAGCCCTAGCCCAGAGCACTAGCCCAGAGCCCTAGCCCAGAGCCCTAGCCCAGAGCCCTAGCCCAGAGCCCTAGCCCAGAGCCCTAGCTCAGAGAGTCGCTTACTCTCTACCCCTACTCTACGCTACCTTAAGTGTACCCTTCCCTACGCTTCCCTACCCCTAGTAATCTCTACTGTGGCCTACGCTTACCTTACTGTACTTCCACTGTACTCTTCCCTATCCTTCCCACCCTCTTCCTACTCTACTATTAGATTGTTCACTTAATTCTGCGCTTCTTCTTAAACTAATTTGTGGGTTACAGAAGCGCAGAATTATGTGAACACTCTAATATTACTGTACTCTACTCTTTCTCTACCTTATCCCTAGTAAACGCAATTTCTATTTATCCTCTACTCAATTCCGTACAACAAAACAAAATGTAACATGTCTTTACAAGTTTAGAAACCCCCAAATGACCAAACAACCGGTTGGCACATCATCTCCCAAAAAACCCCAAAACCGATTAAAATCGAATTTGAGGAAAGTTCCGGTTTAATTCTGCATGTGATTGGATTGAATGACAAAATGGAACAATGGGACACAGGAAAAAATAGATTTTATGGCCAATTTTCACCTTATGTTAAGCGGATTTTGAAGTGGAGTTTCGAGAGGAAAAATAAGAGTATAAGCCTTAAAAAATGAAGATGATAAATTATAAGCCTAAAATAGAGTTTTAAGCCTAAAACTATATTTCTAAGCTTAAAATTCAGTTTTAAGCATAAGAATTAATTTTTAAGCCTAAGATCTCATTTCTAAACCTAAAAGTTATTTCTAAAACTTTTGTTTTAAGGCTAAAATTTATTATTAAGCCTAAAATCTCATTTTTAAGCTTAAACGTTATTTCTGAGATTAAAACTTTTGTTGTAAGCCTAAAATGTATTATTGAGCCTAAAGATCCAACTCTAAACCTAGAATTCCGGTTTAAGCTTACAACTTCACTGTTAGCCTTAAAAATTAATTTCTAAGTCTAAATTCTGTTTTTAAGCCTAAAAGTTAATTTCTGTGCCAAAAGCTAATTAAAGCTCAAAATTTCACTATTATGCCTAAAATTAAAAAAAGCCCTAGCTCAAGCATAAGCTTAAGCTGAAGCAGACTTAAGCCTAAGCCTGAAACAGCCTTAAACCTAAACTTTGAAAAAAGCTTTTTAAGCATTAAAACCTGAAGGTTTAAAAAACACTGCCAAAATAATTCAAACCACCAAAAGTGCAGCACGTTCTGAAAATAAATTAGAAAATTTGACGTTTTTCTTCAATTTTTTCATTGTTTTATTGCCTCAGGCGCTAATTTTGAAGTGGCGAGTTTTCATTTGTGTTTTTTCAAAGATTTCTTCAATTTGTTTTGGCACAACTCTTTTTAAGGAATACCCTACCCTACCCTACCCTACCCTACCCTACCCTACCCTACCCTACCCTACCTTACCCTACCCTACCCTACCTCTACCTTTTTATCTACTTCAACATCTACCTTTACATCTACTTCCACTTCTATCTTTACCTCTATCTGCACTTTCTACCCTTATATCTACTTCTACTTCTATTTTCACCTTCATTTTGACTTTTATCTTTGCTTTTACGTCTTGCTTTTCTTCTAGTTCAACATATACCATTACTTCTACTTTTACCTTTAGTATTGTAAATTATTTTTCTCATAACAACCATCGTATAACATGTCACCCGCAACCTGCAGGCGGTCTTTTCTTATTTAAAACCGCCGCCGATCAGCAATTCAAAATAAATATTTATGACACTATCAATCAATACTACTAAAATAAGTTAACAACTCCAAAATCAAGTCAAATTTAGATGGCATTTCAACAATCCTTTGTTGACATTTCCAAAAACAATCCGATTTTCAGGTATTCGTAAGGCAGTGACAGCTCCTCTAATAGTAGCCCCATCATTACTGTAATACTGAGTGAACTGCCAACTGGCATCTTTACGTTTCTTGATTCTGATGACATTTGACGGTGACAGAAACTCATCTGGATACCGGTAGAAGGCCATAAATCTAAGTTTTAAGGGATGGGTGGTTACGGTAAAGGCAGTTTGACGAAGCTCTTTGGCTATTGACCACGGAGCTGATGGTAGGGAGATGGTCTGGAAAGAAAGTTCTTGCTTTGTAAAGAAAGTTCTTGCTATTTTTTGATTTGTAAAAAAAGTTCCTGCCATTTTTTGTTTTGTAAAGAAAGTTCTTGCATTTTTGACTTACCTCAAGATGTTCTGGCTTCTTCAAGTCATTTACATTATAGATATGGATGTTATTACCACCAAATTCGGCTATGTACAATTTACTAAAAATTTTTTTTTAATTTAAAAAAATTTCGAAATTTCAAAAAAATTTTAAAATTGCCTTACTTTCCATCCTTAGCCATGCCAGCTGGCTGTTTTAGCCTGTTAATGACATTATGAATGTGTCGTCCATCAAAGTAATAAATACTGCCAGATTTGAAATGACCAGCGAACTCGATATGCTGCATGTAGTTACTACGGTACATGTATTGATTTGACACATAAAATTGAGTTGGTCCTAAGGCGACTATTGAGACTAGACTAAAAAATATTTTTAAATTTAAAAAAAGTGCCTTAGCCCAGAGTTCTAGCCCAGAGTTCTAGCCCAGAGCCCTAGCCCAGAGCCCCAGCCCTAGCCTAGAGCCCTAGCCCAGAGCCCTAGCCCAGAGCCCTAGCCCAGAGCCCTAGCCCAGAGCCCTAGCCCAGAGCCCTAGCCCAGAGCCCTAGCCCAGAGCCCTAGCCCAGAGCCCTAGCCCAGAGCCCTAGCCCAGAGCCCTAGCCCAGAGCCCTAGCCCAGAGCCCTAGCCCAGAGCCCTAGCCCAGAGCCCTAGCCCAGAGCCCTAGCCCAGAGCCCTAGCCCAGAGCCCTAGCCCAGAGCCCTAGCCCAGAGCCCAGAGCCCTAGTTCTAGCACTTCTAGCTGGTCCTGGTCCTGGTCTTATGCCTAGCTTCAGCCTAGTCTAGTACCCCTACAATCAGTGAACGCTCACAGAAAAATGAAGCCAAAACCCCAGCACTCGCAGTCATTTGGTGGGTCGTTTTACATCGAGGCAAATATGACATAAAGTTGTAAAATTGCGTAAGAAAAAGTTGCGCAACACGATTTCTGACAATTTCTCTAAGGCTATCTAACTATGTAAGCAATGTTATACAATTTGCAAAAGTTTTTACAACAGATTATGCAACGAGTTCAAATGTGAGACCATATCCTACCCTACGTTTCTTTACCCTACCGTTTCTTTTCTTACCCTAGCCTACTCAACACATCCTACCCTAGCCTACTCAACCTCATTTTTCCTTGTCTTATCTTATTTTATCCTACCGTCTTTATATTCTATTGTACAATGCACTAGTGTTCCTTAGCTTTACTGTATTTTTTATACCTTGCATTAACTTCTACTGTACCTCCAACTGTACCCAAGATTTTATTAAACACTGTCTATAGCTCTTACTATTCGCTTTACTACCTTGCCTACCTTATTTTTTAAACAGCCCTGCTTTGCAAGATGAGATATTCTTAATGATCTACTTATTACTTATTCTACCCCACCACATAATTTCCTCTCCCCCTCCCCCCCCTCTCCCTCCCCCCCCACCTTACCTAGTAAAATACTTTGAAGCGACATGTTTCCTCTTCCTCTTGACTTCATTTCCTTTAAATTCCAGAATTTCGACCGAATCAGTCTCGACCCTCCCCTTCCGATTGTTAATCACAAATACAGTATTAACAAACGTCGAGATACTGTAAGGATTAAACACTGGCGGGGCTTTCCCAGTAAATTTCAATTCATTAGCAATATTCTCATTCGTATGCCACAGAGCTAATCGACCAGTCGAATTCGAAGCATTATTGAGATCGGCACCGGTCGATAAAATGATCGACTGGTTGTTTAGCCATTCCATAGCAACGGCGCCTTGCTCTAGTCCACCAACAAAACTACATTCACCTGGGACATGATTGTAGACTCGTTTGTCCATGTCCAGAAACTTTCTGAAAAATAAGCCTAAATTTAAGCCTAAAGGTGGAAAAACTAGTAAAAGCGAGAAATAAATGGTCGAAAATTTAATCTTAACATCTTGTAAAGAAAATTTTTGCTTTTTTTCATTTTTATTCAAAGTTATGGCACTTTAAAGAAAGTGGAAATTGAGTGGAAGATTTGTAATGTAATTTGCACTGAAAATCTTCCACCCAACTTTCAATTTCAAAATGTCTTTAAATGGCCTAAAAACTCGTTTTTAACACTTTTTAGATGTAAAAGCTAAGTGGAAGATTTATAATGTATTTTGTACTGAAAATCTTCCACCAAACTTCCACTTTAAAAAGTGTCAAAAACGTGTTTTTAAGTCATTTTAAAACATTTTAAAAATGGAAGTTGGGTGGAAGATTTGCAGTGCAAATTACATTACAAATCTTCCAATTCACTTCTACTTTTTGAACTTGCTATCCTTGAAGTTTTAATGAAAGTTCTTGCCTTTTTTTGAGTTGTAAACAAAGTTTTAGTAATTTTTAATCTACTCTTAAAAAACTATAGCATTTGGCATTCTGTAAACAAAGTTACTGCCATTTTTTGCAACTTACAAATAATGGTGGATTAGGTATAGAAAAGTAGCGGCCAATGGTACAGAAACACAGTAACTGTGATCAAAGATGCTCCAGATGGATGACTTTTGTTTTGTCACGTGTTGTGATTGAAACTTGACTTGTTTTTGGTCGATTTTTTGAACTTTCTGGGGCCGAGTTGTAGTCAGTGGTCTCGCTGTCGAACTTGTCATAGTTTTTGTGTCTCTAAAAAGACTTATGTAGCCATTTTTATACGTTTTGAATGCTTAAAATATCACGTTTTTACTTTTTGCACGGGGCTTACTCTACCCTACCCTACCCTACCCTACCCTAATCTACCCTACCTTACCCTACCCTACCCTACCCTACCCTACCCTACCCTACCCTACCCTACCCTACCCTACCCTACCCTACCCTACCCTACCCTATCCTACCCTACCCTACCCTACCCTACCCTACCCTACCCTACCCTACTCTCCCAACATTCCACTTCCCTACGTTTTTCTATTATGTTCTACTCTACTCATACTCTACCTTATCCTATTCTAGCCTACCCTATCCTACCTTATCTTACTTTGCTCCATTGTATTCTGCTTTTCCGTGCCTATCTCTTCCATGTCTACTGTACTTTACTTTGCATTACATCATCCTACCCTGCTATAATTCAGCTTTTGAAGTCTTACTCACCGTTTTCTTAAGCTTTCTCCTTTTTGTATTGTCATTTTGGGCTTTTAAATTGATATTCAACGTTGGCAGAGTAATAGGTAGATTTAATAGACCTTATATTTATGAATAGAACTTAGGGCAAGCTAGTAAATACAACTCTTCCATACAATATTAATGAAATCAAGTAGCTATACAATACCTTTCAGTACAATATTAATACAATTTAGCACAATACTAATGTGCCAACACTATTTAGGTCAAAGCTAATGCTCTTCAGTACAATTTCAATACTCTCCACTACAATATCAATGCTATTCAGCACGCTACACCCAAAACAAAAGGCAATAAACACGAGAGAAGGAAGATGTAACGAGTACAATTCTACCAAAATATCCCCTCTTTTCCGCCATTTTCCCTATGACGACCCGCGGAAAAAAAAAAACGGCCCAAAACGCGTTTGACTTTTTTCCCCTTTAGGGGACGGCCATTTATTGTTGTCATGTAGAAGGCGCGGTCATTCGGGCTAGGACTATGCAAATTTAATGGCCTCCGGGGCTGGCATAAGGAAGGGTTTTAAACGAAAATGCCGGTTTTGCGCTTGAAAATAAAGTTCTTGAACTATTACGTTGTTCACATAATTCTGCCCCTCACAAATTTGCTTAAAGAAGGGGCGCAGAATTAAGTGAACAACCTAATAAATCAAGAAATATTAGGGCTGACATAAAGAACCCGCCATACTTTGCCTGCGATTTCCTGTAAAAAATGGAGGGTTCTTTATGTCGGCACCTAATATTTCTTAATATACTTATTATAGGTTGTTCAAATAATTCTGTGCCCCTAAACTTAAAAAACAGTTAGATGAGAAAGAGGGCTCAGAATTATTTGAACAACACAACTCAATTAATTTTTTTTGCCATTTTTAGGTTTTAAAAATCTGAGGCTTTTATAAAAAGTTATAAAAAAGTGGAAGTTGAGTGACAGATTTGTAATGTATTTTGCACTGAAAATCTTCCACCAAACTCTCATTTTTTGAAAAGTCTTAAAAATGGCTTAAAATCACGTTTTTAATACTTTTTAGAGATGGAAGTAGAGTGGAAGATTTGTAATGTAATTTGCACTGAAAATCTTCCACCTATCTTCCACTTTCAAAAAGTGTCAAAAACGTGTTTTTAAGCAATTTTATTAAAAAAAATCAAAGCCATATGATATATACTACAATTTATTCAAAAAAAAGTAATTGGCTTTTAGTATGCACTGATGCTATCTGTTCTTGTTCTACTGATCGACAGAGAAATCGGTTGAATGGAGGACTTGAATTGGCTTTCCCTTCACCTCCAAACGCACATAGTCCATTCGGCTCTGAAAATACAGTACATTACCCTACCCTACCCTACTCTACCCTACCCTACCCTACCCTACCCTACCCTACCCTACCCTACCCTACCCTACCCTACCCTACCCTACCCTACCCTACCCTACCCTACCCTACCCTACCCTACCCTACCTTACCCTACCCTACCCTACCCTACTCTATTCTACCCTACCCTACCCTACCCTACCCTACCCTACCCTACCCTACCCTACCCTACCCTACCCTACCCTACCCTATCCTACCCTATCCTACCCTACCCTATCTATCAGAATTTAAAAAAAGCTACAGTAACCCACCAGTCCATTCTTGTCGCCCAGCTGTTTCAAACACGGAAAGTGGAAAAGCCTATGGTTGGTATGTTCGATGACATTGATCGAATGTAGTAGCCACGTCCCTCCAACGCCCCGTTTGTGATGCCAAACGTCAACGTGCTTCAGATTACCCAATTGAATTTGATCGACCAGTAGGAAGAGGTCACTCTGAAATGGAAAAATTGTAAAACTTTGTTTACAAATGTTTAAAACCACGATTTTAACGCTTTTTATAAATGGAAGTTAAATGGAAGATTTGTAATGTATTTTGCACTGAAAATTTTCCACTCAACTTCTATTTTTAAAATGCCTTAAAATTGCCTAAAGACACATTTTTGACACTTTTTACAAGTGGAAGTTGAGTGGAAGATTTGTAATGTGTTTTGCACTGAAAATCTTCCACTCAACTTCCACTTTTATTTTGTACTTACATGTCCACGACTGAACTTCTTGCGATGAGTAATCGAACATTTGAGGCGAAGCTTGTCTGTTTGAAGGCCATCTTCGTCAGTCAGCTGAAAATATAAAAATTAAAAAAAGCTTGCGCCGCTGTATCTTATTGTACCTTACACTGTTTTGTCGTGCTCTACTGTGCACTACTGCATTTTTTTTCGTACTATTCCTGTTTTACTCTACCATGCCCTACTGTATCTTTTTGTACTCTATCTTACCTTTTTCTACTCTAGCCTACTGTACCCTATCTTATCCTACCGTAACCTAATGTATTCTATCTTGCACTACTCTACCTTACCGAATCATTTTGTACCCTGCTGTACCTTACCTTACTTAACATTACTCTACTGTATCCCACCATGTCCTAGTGTACCTCGGCCACGCTTTGTCAAGTCCTGTCAAGCTCTGCTCTGCCCTACAGTACAATATTTTATTTTTCTGTACGTCACTCTACGCGCTCTGCCTTACCCTGTCCAACCGTATTATACACTACCTTACCTTTCTCTATCTTATCGTACTCTACCCTACCCTACCCTAATGTAATCTGTTAACCATATGTCCCTTTTTACCTGCACAAACACATTGGCATTAGTACCAGCGTTGGGTTGTTTCGAAGTTCGTACTACAATTGAGTACGAGGTGTTTTCGCCGCGATCACTGAAACTTGATCTGGAACGAGCTCTTAGAGACAGTACTATTTCTCGCTCGGATCTGGAGTTGCTTTGAGACCGTTCTTGAGCCGTTTGTACTGCCAAGTTTGAAGGTGGTACTGGTACACTTGGTGTCGTTTGGGCGTTTTGATCTGGAGGTGGTACTTCCAGTCCATTTGAATCTGCAGGTGGTGCTACTGATCCATTTTGTGACTCAATTGGTGCTTCTTGAGCGCTGGTATCTGAAGGTGGTGCTGCTGGAGCATTTGAATCTACAGACGCGGCTACTGGTCCATTTTGAGCTTCAGATAACGCTGCTGGTGCACTCTGGTCTAAAGCTGGTACTGCTGATCCATTTTGGGCTCCAGCTGGTACTGCTTGATCACTTGGGTCTGAATTTGGTACTACTGATCCAATTGGAACTTCAGATGGTGCTGCTGAAGCATTTGGGTCCAAAGATGGATTACCACCACCATCCACATTGTCAGACATTTTCAAAATGATGAATTTTAAAAAAATAAAAAAAAAAATTTTTTTTGAATTTAAAATTTTTGTAATTTTTTTTTAAATTTGAATTTTTTGAAATATTTTAAAATTTCAAACCGCGTCATAAAGAATTGAACTTTTTCCCTAACAAAATACATTACAAAACGTCCAATTCTTTTTGACGCGCCTATGATTTGAGTAAAAAATCAAATTTAACCCAGCCTTTTGATATTCGCTTTTTACTAACACGTTTGTCATCCAATCTGCTTAATCTTTTGTATCGGCCGCGACAAAAAAAAGTTTGTTCGTTCTTTTGTCACATGCGCATAAATTTTATTTTTTTTTCGAGAGCCTCTCGATATCCGTTATCGCTTTCGACCGGTGATATCTCTTGGCCTAGACTATAAAATCGGATTGTAATTACTGTGGGTTATAACGCAGTAATTTTGACATACTTTGCTGGGATTTGAGTATTGTAGCTTGATTGGGAGGGTTTTTATATTGACTTGTATATTTTTTATCCCAAATTTAACTGATCTTGGTGTGTAATCTTCTATAAGCAATATCTCTCGTTCTAAGTTATAAAATATGGTTGTAATTACTGTGGTTTATAACACAGTAATTTTGACCTACTGTACTGGAATTTGAATATGGTAGCTTGATTAGGAGGGCTTTTATATTGACTTATGTAGTATTTGTTTTAAATTTGGCTGCTTTTGATTTAGGACTTTCTATAAGTTATATCTTTGAAATTACTGTAGTAAGTGATACTGTAAAAACCGCATTTTAAAAAGCATTGACTTAGCTACCATATCAATATATAAAGCTTTGTACTTTGGTTTTGTGACTAGTCATAGCGATTTACATATTATCTATCTTAAGTTTAGCTGATTTCGGTTTATGACATTCTACAGGCCATATCATTGAAAATATTGTAGTAAGTGGTAGTGTATTTTTAGAAGCAGTTAATTAGTTAAAAATATACTGTAAATAAGCCATGTAATCTTGTTTTTGTGGCTAGTTATATTATATTAGCTTTAACATCATCTTTTGTAAATTGGCTGATTTTGATCCATGACATTCTTTAGGTCTTATATACCATACCATTGAAAATATTGTAGTAGGGGAAACTGTAAGAACCCTATTTTGAAAAGCAGCTAATTTTCTACAATGCATCGTAATTTAGTCTTGTTACCTTGTTTATGTGGCTAGACATATTTACTTGCATATTACCTATGCCAAGTCCAGTTATATGTTATACATACTTTTCATAAGTCATATTTTTAGTTTTATTGAAGTAAATGATACTGTAACTATTTTATTTTAAAAAACCCTAAATTTATTACATTGTGCTCTGGTTTGGTGGTTCTATTGAGCTTTTGGGGTTAGTTATATTTTTTTAAATGTTAACTATATTATACTTGGCTTTTTGATAGATGTTGTCATTTTCTATAAACTATATACTTACTTTGGTAACAGTTAGACATATTGTAGTTGTCGTATTTGAAAAAGCATTAAATTTACTACATTTTATATACAATACAACCCCTTTATCTTGTTTTACAGCTCTGTTATACCGTTTGATACAGAACCAACCCTAAAAACCAAACTACAACAACCTCATATACCAAAAATTAAAGCCATCATATCTTCACCCCAACCAAGTCGTATCTAAAATCCCTCTCACGTAAAATACGACGTATCTTCACTTGTCGTAACAAACTCATCTCCCCTCTCCAACCACTTGATCGACCAGAACCACTTGAAGATGAACACCTACGGGACCGCGAACAGTCAAATGGCCCGGATCGCCGCCGATCCCAGTCCGATCGACAGCAGAATGCGCAATTTAAAAAATTTTTGGGAAATTAATGCGGAAAAGGAGCGGGAAGAAGCAGTAAGTTTAGTTAAGAAAGACGGTTTTTGGTGTTGGGCGTGGTATAAACTAGGGAGTGGTTTTGAAGGATTTATAGTGAAAATAGGCGGATTTTGACGATTTTTCAAATTTCATAGTAAAAAAACTAAATGGAAAGCTTAAAAATTGATTTTAAACATCTTTATAAATTTAAAAAGTCATTTCAATTAAAATTTTGCAAAAAAAATTTTTTTTTGATTTTTCGGCCGGTCGATAATTTTTTTCTTCAAATTTTGTATTTTGTAACGTTTTTGGTTTTTTCTAAGCCTATAAACCTACAAAAACCAAATTTTTCACATTTTCAAAAATCGACCGGTCGAAAAACAATTTTTCCAAAAAATTTTTAAATTTCAAAAATTTCAGGAAAAAGCAGCCCAATTGCACAAAATCCGTCGCCCTTACGGATTTCCGAAATGGCGATCTTCGGATGCTATGACAGCTTCATTGGTGGCTTCAGTACGAACACCTGAAGTTATTCCAGCTGACAGCCGGCTGCCCGAACAGAGAATAAACATGATTTATGAGAGTGAGAAGAGTGCACAGGATGTTAGGGTAGGCTTAAATTAACCGCCTGTTCAATATCTTTTTAAAAATCAAAAAAAAAATGTTTTTGTGTTTTCGACCGGTTGATAATTTTTTGATGAATTGTTAAATTTTTATTGAAGGAGAATGCCTTCAGGAAGAGATAAAACGTGATGCAGAACAATGGAAAGTCCGTCGAAAGTCCACTGGTCCTACAGAAGTTCATTTAGAACCAGTACCAAACAATCCATGGTACCAGCCGGAACAAAGTCATGTAGAAAGGTCGTCTATTGCTAATTCCCAATTCACTCGCAGTTACTTTGAGAGTGGCGGTGGTGGTGACAAAGGTAAGTATTATGGAAGGGTAGGGTAAGGTAGGGTAGGGTAGGGTAGGGTAGGGTAGGGTAGGGTAGGGTAGGGTAGGGTAGGGTAGGGTAGGGTAGGGTAGGGTATACTAAGGTAGTGTAGGGAAGCGGAGGATTGGGTAGTATAAGATAGACTAAGGTGGGGTAGGGTAGGGTAGGGTAGGGTAGTATAAGATAGACTAAGGTGGGGTAGGGTAGGGTAGGGTAGGGTAGGGTAGGGTAGGGTAGGGTAGGGTTGAATATTGACTACCATAATCTTCCTTTTCCAGCCAACTTATCGACCTTACCAAAGCGACAGACCTACCCTTATAACGAACAAATTACAATAGACGTATCTTCTCAGCCCAGTCCACAAATTCAAAAAGTGTTACAGTACCTGAACAACAACTACAGTATTCTCCGAGACTTGGGGGTTTCAATTCCTCTTCATCTTCTTCAAAGCTATCAGAACGGTACTAGCGGTACTCAACATGGTACTACCCATCAAAATAGTACAGTTTTTCAAAATGGTACAATTAATGGTACTAACTATCAAATTGGTACTACTTTACAAAATGGTACACTTAATGGAACTCCTTACCAAAATGATACTACTCATCAAAATGGCAGTCCTAATGGTGTAGATACAAGAAGAAATCGACCAATGTCGTTTTTAGAAAGAGAAGTCTTTGAAGCCCAGAAGCGAGAAGCCGAGTTCCAACAAAGCCGACAAGAGCTGGGCATGATGACACTACAAGACACGATACATTTGTGGAAAAGTGGACAAACATGGGACGGTACTAGTAGGCCTAACAGCTCTAGTGGCTTTAATGTAAGTGGGGGCATTTATTAAGGAAATAAGGCAAAATCGACAAGAAAACAACTTTGATAAAATCGACCGGTCGATAAAGTTTTTCGCTAAATTTTGACTTTTTTGTAATTTTTATGTCATTTTTGGCCCGAAGTAAGCATTAACAAATTAAGTTTTGTAGAATTTTTAAAATCGACCGGTCGATAGTTTTTTTTGAATATTTATTTTTTTGTTGTATTTTTAGCTATTTTAGGCCTATATTGAGCATCAAAAAGTATAAATTTGTAAAATTTTATAATCGACCGGATTTTTTTTTTATTTTTTAGTTTTTTTGCCATTTTAAGCTTACATTAAGTACAAAAATAACCAAACTTTGCAATATTTAGAAATCGACCTGTCGTTAGTTTTGAACTTTTTAAAATTTGTATTTCAGGAGCCAAACTCGGTCGAAGAATACGGTTTAGACAACGACAACTTTGCTCAACATATGTGAATCGACAAGTAAAAATATATATGACATTTCTTATTAATTGTCGAATAAATTTATACTTAATTGGTAAGAACTTTCTTTACAAACCAAACAATGGCAAGAAATTTCTTTACAAAACAAAAAATAGCAAGAACTTTGTTTACAAATTATAAAATGGCAAAAACTTTCTATACAAAACAAAAAATAGCAAGGACTTTCTTTACAAAGCTAAACATGGAAAGAACTTTCTTTACAAAAAAACAACTGCCACTTTTTATGTGTTTTGCATATTTTTCAAAAAAAAAACATTCACCATGGCTACAGTTTCGAAAATTCGAAACGTAGAAAAGAAGAATTCAAAAAACAAGAAAAAATTTGTTAAAACCAATGTTCGCAGACATATTAAACGTTCTGCGAGTATTTGTTATAGTACCAGCATTTGTTGTTTATACTGTACTGCTTATTGTCATACTATTTCCTAAGACTTTTAGGGTTAAAAAATATTTGAAATTATAAAAAGCCATTAATAACGACTTTGTTGCTGCGTATTTTACAAAAAAGATACTCTAGTTTTGAAGCATGGATAATAAGTACTATATATCACTAAATATTATTGTCCTGTGTTTAGTGTTATACCTAGTGTTGTGTGAAGAAGTCTTTCAACCATTGGATTTGCTAGAAAAACAGCATTTTAAACGACAAAAGCGCCAATTATTGGCATCAACTGAAGAGGAAGCGACGACAGTGTCAACTGATGACAGTGATGAATATACAGTATGTAAGTTTGGTGTTTATAAACAATGAAAACTTAAAAATGGCTTAAATTTAGTTGATTTAGTGGCTCAGCTTAGGTAGAATTTACTTTAATAGACGTAACATCTTGTTTAAGTTTAATAAGTTCAGAATTAGTAGGCTTGTCCTAACTAGGCTTGTTTTTTTTAGTTTGGGCTTAGTAGGTTTAATAAGCTGGACCACAAATTATGATTTGTAGATTTGCGCGTAGTATAAATACGCGTAGTAGGCTTACGCTTTGTAGGTTTTAGTTCATTAAGCTTAAGAATAGTATTAAAGAGATCAGTGTAGCAGGCTTACAAGTGGCGCCATGCCGCCACTTGGTTTCTTCAAGTTATTTCCGACCGAGTTTTCAGCGCGCCTTCCTCTTTTTAAGGATTCGGTCAAAATTTAAAGTCGATTTTCTCGAAAACTAAGCGCCATACGGAAAAACGGTTTTCAGATCCATACTCAGTGATTACAGGGCTTTAAGAATATATAGGTCTCGACCTAAAGTCGAGGTACGATTTAAGTGACTTCCCATGTTAGGCTTTTAAGTTCAAGATTAATGGACTTAAAATTGACAAATTAACTTGTTTTAAAATATATTATAGCCTCAAAAATCTTGTCAGACATCTGCGTGGTGGAAGAGCTGGAATCAGGTAAACAAAACGCAACAAAAGTGTTATTCTACATAAGTGCCGGTTGGATGGTGGCATGGTGTTTATTCTGTATTGTCACTAACGCCGTTTTTCAGTAGGTTTAAAAACTTTTTTTATAGTGTATTTACAACATTGTACGATATGGTAAAATAAAGTAAGTGAAAAGTGTAGTATAGGAAAGGGTCGGGTAAATTAGGGTTGTATAAAAAGCTAGAATATGGTAGGGAAAGACTGATTAGTAAGGTAGGGTAAAATACGGGGTTTGAAAATGCTTATTTATAATATTTTCAGAGTGTACTCAACAGTACGATTGTTAGAGACAGTGCAGGAGTTTGCTTACATTGTACTATTTGTTTTTATGGGTGTCTTTGTTTATCCATTGGATAGTAAGGTAAGTCGTTATTAATATCTATGTATTTGCATACTTTGATTTTTTTCTAGGCCTTGTGTACAGCCACTGCCATCATAATCATGTTCTTTATGAATTTTGTTGCTTTGATTTTCTTGGTCAAGGAAATATTGGCTACGTGGTGAGTAAATACAGTAGAACTCCTGTACAACAGACTCCACTATAACAGAGTCTCTTTATAACGAACAAAGTGAAAATTCTCAAGAGCTTTATTATACCCAGGGTCTACTATATATAGTTATGTTATTCTGCAGTACGATACTAAAATATTTTTTTAGATCTTTAAAACATATTGTGCTCACAGTACTAATTATACATTTTTTAATGCAATTTTGCTTTCAGTATGATCAGAAACTTGATTAAAACTATCAACTTGTTTCACTGGATATTAGCTTTCTCATTTCCTATTGTTGGTGCTGTTGTGGCGACAATTGTCGGGTATTACACTTGTTCTGATTACTTTGGTATTCAGCAACCACAGTAAGTTGAAAAAAGACTACACGCTTAATATTATTAGTCTTAGACTAAAGCTTGTTACGCTAAGGCTTAGTAGGCTTTGGTGTAATAGACTTAAACTTAGTAAGCTTAGGCTTAATAGGTTTAGTCAAAGAACAATTAGGCTTAATACTATGAGGTTTAAGGTTTTCTTATATCAGTAATAACTATACATTACAGTTGCTTCTGCTACACTCGTACAAAACAATTCTGGGCGTTTGTAATGCCCGTTTGGATCAGCTTTGTCCTAACAACTCTAGTGCAACAATTTGCATTTACTATGTGTAAAATGACAGAACTTGAAGGTAGTAATCTGTCACAAATGTATTGGGCTTTGTAAGTTTACTTTTTTTTAAATATTGGTTTTTTTTAACTTTTAGGTTTACTTATCTTAGGCTCAAAAAGGTTTGAGCTTAGTAAACTTAGTCTTAGTAGGCTTAGGCTTAATAGGCTCAGGCTTAGTAGACTTACGCTTAGTAGGATTAGGCTTAGTAGGCTTAAGCTTAGTAGGCTTGGTCTTAGTAGGCTTAGGCTTAGTAGACTTACGCTTAATAGGCTTGGTCTTAGTAGGCTTAGGCTTAGTAGACTTACGCTTAGTAGGTGTAGGCTTAGTAGGCTTAGGCTTAGTAGACTTAGGCTTAGTAGGCTTAGGCTTAGTAGGCTTAGGCTTAGTAGGCTTAGGCTTAGAAGGCTTAGTAGGCTTAGGCTTAGTAGACTTACGCTTAGTAGGCTTGGCATTTTATTTAAATTTTAAAATTGAAAATTAGAATTTTTTTAAATTTTTAAATTTTCAGTAAAACCTGTAAGTCAAGTACTCTACTGTTTACATGGTCGGCCGTAACTATATATTCTCTGATGTTTGCAGTCGATATGCAAATTATGTGGCTGAGTTTTGGCTATTTCATCGCTAGCCTAATCTTTGGTCCAATGTTATTTGTTTGCCATACTTATAGTCATGCTAATGTAAGTCAGCCTACCTATCTTAATTTAACCTATTTGTAAATATAGGCTTACCAAACATATATTACCGTTCCTTATAGGTAATTTATGGCCTGTCACGAAAGGCAAGTACGTATTTTACAAAGATATTTTAGACCTGCATATCTCTTTATGCCCAAACATCAATTCCATTCTACCGACCTTGTCCACCACCTCATCCCACCTATAACGAACAGATCAACTTTATGTTGTCAATACGAATGCAAATACCATTGTTTGATGACCCGGCTATCAGGACGAGATGCGAAACACAAAACAGAGTTATACTGGAAACACCACCTAGTATTAAGGTAAGAATCGGCTTTGTAAAGTTGTATTACTGTAGGACTATGTAGAATGTAGAAAAAGTGTATGACTATATATGGGTAGTTAAGCTAGGGCTATAGATTAGATAAAAACTCGGGTTAAAGTTTAAGTTACGGTTTTAGCTAAGGCTAAACTAACGCTTAAGCTAGGGCTAGGGATAGATATTGTGGCATAAATTCAGCTAACAAGACACAAGTAAGACCTTGGACTAGAATCTAACATAAGGCTTAGTCTATGGCTCATTTTAGGGCTAGAGATTTGGCTAGAGATTAGACTAAGGTTTAAGCTAGGAATAAGACTATGGGTTACAGCTCAAGTCTAAGTCTAAGACTCTGGGCTAGGGTTCTGAGCTATGGCTCTAGGCTCTGGGTTACAGCTCTAGGCTATGGCTCTAAGCTATGGCTATGGCTATGGCTATGGCTATGGCTATGGCTATGGCTATGGCTATGGCTATGGCTATGGGCTAGGGCTCTGGGCTAGGGATTTGGGCTGGGGCTCTGGGCTAGGGCTGAGATCTAATTCTAGGGCTAGCTGGCTTACTTTGTTATTTTCAGAAACGAAAAAAACCCTAAAAAGAAGGGCTGTTCTTGGGAATAATGTCACCGCAAAACCTGATTCAGCTCCAGCTGTGGTGGACTGGTACTAAGATTATTTTACTATTACTTATGTAAAGTAATAATGTTAATTTATACTCTATAGTAAAACGCTATAGCGCGCTAGTATATAAAGCTTAAAATTAAAAAAATTTTTAGTTTTTCAATTTGCATACTTTATTTGAAAAAAAGCACAATACAATGACATGTAAATGTAAAATAACCGCATATATCGGGGAAAAAATTAAACGAATATTTTCAGTTGTATGTCTAAAAATTTTAAAAAAATTTAAATTTCAAACATTAAGCTTAAAAATTTTAAAAAATTTCAACTTTTGAACTCAAAGCCTAACAGTTTCGAAAATCATAAAAAGAAAAAAAAGGAGTGGCATGTGTATCGATCAAACCATCCTTTATCTTTTAAATTGTCGTGTCGAAAAGATTCTAATGCACTATAATCATATTTTTCACGTCGGTATGAGCGGGCTACTGGATAACGTCGTGGCAAAGTGCACGTGTGTACCTGACACTGGCGTTACTTTTTCGGTTCGCAGGGTCGGACATATATAGATATCTATCCATGAAAAGATCGAGAGGCCAAGTTACTCTCTAAACAATTTTAATATATTTAAAGTTGTGTCCACGATGCTTACTTTTTTAAAATCGAAAAGTTGTGCATCTTTATGGTCAACCTCAAATGAAGTGTTTATTTGTAGTCTAGCCATTTTAAATTCATACGTCATATGGGTATGAAGCCGTTTTAACGCTTTATATTCTTTTGAATCAGGCTAAATAATAAAATTAGTTAATTAATAAGTAAATTTTTAAAAAACTAATTTTTAGTTTTTAAAGGCAGTTTTATTCCATTTTTTTGTCAAAGTAAACTAAAAATTTTTTAAAAATTTAAAAATGTACCAAAAGCTCTAAAAATTTGCATACATGTTTTTGACTATAATGAACAACTTCGTATTTATTTTTTTTTTTCTAAAAATGCCGTAGCCTGCCGTAATCCGACCGGTCTATTATAAGAGTGCAAATATCAAAAAATTTAACGCTGGTCTCCGTAGTCAGTTTTAGCATATTTAAAATCTACATAAAACGTAGATTTTGATGAAATGATAACATACTGTCTGAAAATTTAATATTTTATGGTGGCTTTGCTGCACTTACAAGTTTGCAAATGTGCGTATTCAATTTTTTTACTATGCTGAACAACTTTTTAATTAAAAACGTTTTTAAAGTAAGATTTTTTAAAAAATTTTTAGCTTCCTTTGACAAAAAATGAAATAAATGTGCCAAAACAGCATTTTGGCCAAAATCGCTTTACCATATGTCTTAGAAAAACCTATCGTCGATTTAGCTAATAAAAATAGGGGGAAAAACTTCTAGTGCACACCTTGCTTCACAGTTTCAAAAATCCAAACCAGGCGCAGCCGGGTTGACCACTTATATATGGGATTTTCCCGGTTTTTTCAAAATGCAAATTTTTTTGAAATTTTAAAATGTAGCATGTTTCAAGCCTCCGTAAATTATTTTTGAAAAAATGTTTCAAAAATATGCACTTTCTGCCCTGAGGCGATTTTTCAAAGTTTGAAAAAAGTGAAACCCAGTGCATATAAGGGACGAGCTAAATACATCGGATGGAAAGTATCAGACAAAAAATGTGATTTCTTGTCTGATATTTTCGTCTCTCATTTTCCCGCTATCTTTTTTTTCCTCTCGTTGCCGACGGCAGTTAGACAAAAAAAAAGATCGTTGAAAAAAATATCAGACAAGGAATTGCATTTTTTGTCTGATACTTTCCATCCGATGTATTTAGCTCGTCCCTTATATACTTCCAAACGTAAGAATCGAAAAATTCTTATTGGCAACTTTTTTTTATTATGCCTGGAAGGCATTGAAAAAAATAAAAATATTAAGAACTTATTACTGAACTTACTTCATTGACTATATCCAAAGACGCTGCCAACAAACTGCCCATCGGGATTGCTAGCTTAAGAAACGAACCAGAGGTCTCTTTGATTAAACGCAACTTTTCGGTCATATCCACACTTGCTTGGGCAATATTATCAAAGCGTTCAATTATTTCCGATACAAGCTCATCAGCTTTAAAAAATTAAAAACAATACTGATCTCCTGATTTTTAACTTACGTTCCTTTTCAAGTTTCGTACAAGAAATCAGGCTACACAATAACCACACTGTATTGAATACTATTTGCAAATTCATGGGTTTGAGAAAGGCTGAAAAAGAAATAAAAATATTTTTTAACGACTTTTTTACCTTACACGCGGCAAGCCCAGAAAAAGTGAAAGAAAAACAATTATATAAGAGAAAATCGCTTGGCATTCCGCAACAAAAGGAAACAAATAGTATGATAACTTCGCAATATCTTTTCGAAATGTTAAAGTGCAGCTTTCTTAAAAGTGTTTAATAACAATTAAAAAACAACACTTTTGTTGTCGGGCGGGGTCGGTCCGACAAGTTATATCTCCAAAATGTTCTCCCCCTCCAATTACAGTGGAGGGGTTTTATATGCGGCCAACGGCCGATTACTTGGCCGTGACGCAGAGGTCGCGTTTGACGCAGCGACTCTTGCGTCAACCCCCCGGCCTTTAGTCATAGACTAAAGGCCCGGGGCTTGGTTGACGCAAGGGGCGCCTTGTCACCGCAACCCCTGCGTCAGTCCCCGGGTCATAGACTATTAGTCTATGACCAGAGGACTGGGACTTCGGCTCTGTGGCGACAACTTTAATTCCCTAACTTAAAAAATCTCTTTCCTTAATAAAAATTTGGTATTCATATTAAAAATACGCTTTTTAAAAACTCTAAAATACGTCATAACTTTGAAAAATTATATAAAATTGACCATGATATTGCTTTTGCCGGTTTTCTTTGCCAACCGTCCGCCAAGTTAAAGGGTTTTATTTTTAAAAAGTAATTAACAAGGAAAGTGCCCGGGGTAAAAAAAAATTGGCGTAGGTTACCTGTTTTTCAAAAATTCATCGGTAACCCTTCCCCTTTCAGAAAAAAATTTGCGCCCGGCCCTCAAATCGCCAACCTAAGAAAAAATTTAACGCGCCAGGCTTAACATTGGGCTCTAGCCTGAAAAGACATGCCCGAATACGTTTATAATAGTTGCTAACTGTCGCTTATATAATTGTTTTATCAATCCATTCGACTGACAGGTATGCATTTTTACAATTGTTATCAGTTGTGTTTCATATCAGTCTACACTGTCAATCAATTTTTTGTTATTTTTGAGGGCTTCGCGATACATTCAAGCACATAAGAAAGAGAGTGGTCGACAAATAAATTGATTGTAATGTTATAACAAACAATTTTAAAAAGTTTCCGTCCAATTCTGCTATAATTTTTTTACAAGGAAAGTACCCGACTTGCCCCGCTCTGATTGAAACTTTTTATACAGAAAGATCATGTAAATATAAGATCTTGAGCAAAGTACTAAATCGCGCTTTCCAGGAGATCTCGAGAAAATCAAGCTTAAAAAATGACATTTTGAATTTTCCGCCAACCTGGCATTGTGTTTCAAGCTTTTAACTTTGTCATTTTTTGACTTTTAATAATTTCTTTGATATACTAGTAGAATACTTTTAAATAAACCTACATTTGGAAATTTCTAAGCGTATCTCGTCTGGAAAGCCGAAAAAAGTGCTTAAAACACTGCAAAATTTGCCAAATTGACGGGAAACACAAATAATTTAAATTTAAAACTCAAAGCGCGAGCTAAAATTTTTTATGAATACTTTTAGTGGTACAAAAAATTTATATAAAACTTTTTTAGCTAATTCTGAGCGTGGCAGGTAGGGTACTTCCCTTGTAAAACGGTTAAAAAAACATAAAAGAATAGTCTCAGTTTTTGTCCGGTAAAAAATATTGAGTTTGAGCGGAGTTGTGCCCTTCGCCAATTTTCTCCGCCAATCGTCCGCCTTTTTAAAGAAAATAATTTTTTAGTTCAGAATTTTATTAAAATAGTTTAAAAGCTCAAAAGAATGTCTTCAATCTTTGTCTGGTGAAAAAATATTGAGCGGAGTTATAGCCTTCGCCGATTTTCTCCGCCGACGCGGAGAAATTTTTAAAAACTCCAGACCGGACTTGAGCAAAAAAAATAGAGCCAAGGTAGGACGGTGGGGCTAAAAAGGAAAAGGGTAAGCTTAGGTAGGGCTATGATAATAATAACGATGTTAAATTGGCGGGATCCGCACTTTATAAAGCTAAAAAAGAAATAGCAACATTACTAGTAAGAATCCACTAGTAAGAATTTATATTTTTTAGAATAAACAATTATTTTGAAGTCAGCATATTTAAAAACATGTAAGTTAGCAGTTTCCGCACTTTAAAAGCCAAAAATTTTAAATATTGACATTAATAGTAATAAATTCAACAATTTTAGATTGTAACTTGAAAAAAGAAAGGAAGTTTTACTTCTTTGCAAAAATTTCCCGCTAAAAATCACAAGGCATTTACAGGGCACGGGGCATCTTACGTTTTAATGCTATGCCTTGTCCTGCCCTGCAAGAAAATTCTAAACGATGTCCAATGCCCTGCCCTAGGGCAGGATAGGGCACCACGCCTTACGTCCAAGCCTGGTTACATACCCACCACATATAACCAACTTAATTAATTACCGTAACCAACTCTGGAAACGTCTAGGACACTCTTCAGCTGCAAACAATAAGTTTAGAATCACGAGTAAGGTACTAAACAAACAAATTAATACATTTATTAAGAACAAACTTAGCCAAAATTTAGGAACTTCCAAAAAATCGTTAATTTCAAAATTTGCGTTTGTAAAAAATTTTAAAAAAAGATGTATTTCTAATCGTAACAGAAAAAAATATCGCAATATTTTTACAAAGTATTGAACTCAATTTACGAATTATTACAAGGAGACGAATTGACGGGAAGTCTCATGAATAGACAAGGGGAAGATTAGTGCTCTTCCTCTATAAAAATTTTGAACCAACAGTTGGAACTTTTGCTTTTATCTGCTCATTATGCCCACACGACACAATGTTTACTTATTGCTCCACACGTTATAAACATTTGTGCAGCGCCCGTTTTTTCTACTCATGCGGCATTTTTCAGTTAATTTTTGTAAAATTACGTCACTGCACTTTCTCGTCCTATTAGTGACTTTATAACAAATCACTAGTAAATAGTATTTTTTCTTTTAAAACTCTTTTTAATTCGAACAATTTATTTTAAAAAAGCAAGCACAATATAACTAAATATAAAATAAATTATAATCAATATGATCTATAACAATATAATTAAAAAAAATTTTTTTTAAATGACACAAAAAATCAATATATACATCAATTGTGGCAGTAAATGTCGTTATATAATAATGATGACAAATCAAAGTAAATCGTGTAATGTCGATCCGTTTTACAGTAAATTGTAAAATAACGACTAATTTTGGGAAAAATTTTAAAATTTTCAAAAAATTGAAAGTTCGAATTTTTAGGCTTTAAAATGTAAAAAAATAAAATTTTTCGTTTTTTAAGCTTAAAAATAAAAAAAATTGACATTTTAAAATTTTGAATTTTTAAGCCTAAAACATTCAAGAAAGCAAAATTTTTAAAATTTGACAGGATATTACAGTAACCCTGCAATATCTAATTAACCTCAAACAATCAAAAAGCCTATTGTTCTTCATTCGAGACGTCACTCTTGTCATTCCTGACCATAGTGACTTCAGAAGCGCATGAGAAAGCACTTTGTCGCCGCTTCAGCCTAGCCTCAAATGGTACCATTCTACTGTACATTCTAGCCCATGCCAAGAGTACCAAAACAATAACAAGTACTATCATGGCCCAGACTGGTCGAGGGCCCCATGCACTGTAAAGCGCACTTCCAGCTAATGGTCCAACTAGTCTGGCTAGACCTCCAGCACCTTGTAGTATACCTTGTTCGGTACCTTGACGTCTGGGACCTAATATTCTAGAGAATAAGGTGTTCATGGTAATGTTGAGCAGTGGGAAGGCTAGTCCAATTACTATGGCATAGGAACCGTAGTAGAGGTATACGTTTACTGCGTTCATACGAACACACCAGTCGAAGCGACCATAGTTACAGCCAATTGCGGTGTCGTCCGGGTCGTCTGAAATAAAAAAATAAAGTGTTTAGGTAATGAAAAACGTTTTAAAAGCTGTTTTGGTTAATTGTAGGCCTGAAATAATATTTTTGTAAAAATTAAAAATCGAAAGTTGAGTGGAAGATTTTCAGTGCAAAATACATTAAAAATCTTCCACAAAACTTCCACTTTTAAAAAGTGTCAAAAACGTATTTTTAAGTTATTTTAAGACATTTTAAAAATGGAAGTTGCGTGGAAGATTTTCAGTGAAAAATACATTACAACTCTTCCACCGAACTTCCACTTTTTGAAACGTGTTTTTTGTGTTATTTTTAAACACATGACATTTTTTTGAACTAAAAAGGTTTTTTTGTCGTTTTGAACGTAAAATACGAGCATATATAGGAATTGCTTATACTTACATGCTTCTTGAAGAGCTGGCAAAAATGGCCATGAGAAGGTTAATAAGTGGAACAATACTAGGGCAAGAAGCGAGGCTATGCATCCAACTCTCATGTTAATACTGCAAAATTTTGAAATAAATTTTTAAAAAATTTGAAATGAAGTAATTTTTGATTACCGTATCTTACTTTACCCTACTCTATCTTACTCTACCCTTCTCTACCATACTCTACTCTACTCTATTCTATTCTACCTTACCCTATTTTACCTTGCCCTACTCTATCTTACGTCGCCTTAACCACTGTCTCCTACCGTATTCTATGGTACTCTTGCATGCCCTACAGTACTCTACTCTGTCTATTTATATCCTATTTCACTCTACTGTGCTTTGTCGTAACCTACCGTACCCTCCCGTGACCTGCCGTAGCATGCCGTAATCTACCGTAACCTAAGCTACCTTACCCTATCCTACGCTATTCTACCTCACCTTACCTTACCTTACCGTACCCTACTTTTATCATTCTATACTCATTATCATACTTTACCTAATCGTGTCTTTACCATAACCTACTCAATTGTGTCTTTATCATACCTGACGTTTACTTTATTCTTCTTATATTCTACTCCTACCGTATCTTTCGCTACATAATAAAGTTTTGTAATTTGTTCAAGTGCTCCGTAAACTCACTGCTTGTCTAAATGGAAACAGATATAGACGACATAGGTGACAAAAGTCAAGAACCCAACGAATCCTTGAGCAGCCGAGTTGTAGGTGACACTTTCATTCTCATTCATACTGAACATCATCATAGCGAAGGCGGATCCCAGTGTCTCCAGGTTTGTTCTAACAAACACATCAACAAACCGTGTGGCATAACATATGACAACTGCCATTTGATCATACTTGGGTATCTTCACCTCCACCTCTTCCACATCTTGCTTCTCCAAATCGGATTCTGAATCTACTTTTTTGGTAGTTGTTACAATTCCAACGTATTTCTCGGTAAAGGCGTATTTTAGAAGTGACATGCCGACAATATTCATCAAACATGCAAAGTAGGCGGGGGCGGTGTAGAGATTGAAACGAAGCTTCTGGCTCAACAAGGCAAAGCCAGGGAAGCCTAGTGGAGTGAAGACTAGTTGGAATACTGAAAATAATTTTTATATTATTGTAGGTAACATACAATTTTATTTTTCAATTTTTTCAATAAAAATGAAGCTTTTGAAAAATGGAAGTCAAGTGGAAGATTTTTAATGTATTTTGCACTGAAAATTTTCCACTTAACTTTCACTTTTCAAATGGCTTAAAATAACTTAAAAACACGTTTTTGGCACTTTTTGAAAGTGCAAGTATAGTGGAAGATTTGTAATGTATTTTGCACTGAAAATCTTTCAGTTAACTTCCACTTTTAAAATGTCTTAAAATTGCTTAAAAACGCACTTTTTCTACTTTTTAAAAATGGAAGTTGAGTGGAAGATTTTCAGTGCAAAATACATTACAAATCTTCCACTTAACTTTCATTTTTTAAAATTTTGCTAATACGCCTTATTAACCTTGAAATTAGTAAAACTCATCTTAAAATCAATTATAATAAGTTGTTCAAATAATTATGTGCTTTTTTTTCAAAGCAAACTGGTGATGATAGAGGCGCAGAATTACTTGAACAACCTTATACTTCAAAAAATGTCATTTCAAATGACTATTGTGTTTTATTTTGCTCTATCTAAAAGATCTTACCAGGTCCAACCACTATGCCCAAGGCCTGGCCACAAGTGACAAAAGCTATAGCTCGCGACCTGTCATTTGCGGTAGATGCTGTTGATGCATACGTTCTTAACAGTGCTGTATTGCCAGCACCAATGCCGGTGACTAACCTGCCAATTAGCAAAAGGTATCTATTTGGGAATGGCATCATGGGCATCAACAGATACAGTGCATTTCCCAATAGCATCATACTCAACCCGAGTATCAGGGGCGGGGTGACTTTTTTGATTTGATTGCTCCAGTAGCCAAATAACGGTGACGACACAATTTGGCCAATGCTGAAGGCTGATACTACTAGGCCGAAGAAGTTTTCGGTGATTCTCTTATCCACCATCTGCATATATGGCCACATTGACGACAGATACAGAGAGAATTGGACCGAGCTGATGAAAGATAAGATCGCGGCTGTGTAGATACTACGCCATTCAGTTTTGGCATCATTGAAGGTGGACGAGAAGCTGGAGAAAGAGTTGTCGTCGGAAGAGTTGGATTCAGAATCCTCGACGGTGTTTATCGTGAACTGGGTTGATTTTGCTGATGGTGATGGTGAACGGCTTCTGATTTCAGAAGGAGATAGTATATGGCTTCTGCTTTCGGTAGCACATAGTGAACGGCTTCTGTTTTCAGTAGCAGTTGTTGAAGGGCTTCTGTGTTCGTTAGCACATGGTGAACCGCTTTGATTTTTAGTAGTAGAAGACGAACGGCTTCTATTTTCAGTAACACAAGGTAAATGGCTTCGATTTTCAGTATCAGACGATGAACGGCTTCGTGTTGATGACATTGATGAAAAGCCTCTTTCATTTTGAGAAGTGAACAGATCCAGATGAGTTTCAGGTACTGGCAATTGACCATCAGTTGAAGGGTTTGCCATGATGAAACAATTGAGTTTTTCAGTTTAATAGTGTATAAGTTTGAACTCAACTAGCTGAAATAAGATTTAGTTAGTTTCTGGTACTAGCTTGACGTGTTCTTTAAGTACTAGAATCTACACGTGACAGCTCATTTTAACCTGAAGTCTATAAGGCCAAAGACTCTAAACTTCAACTTTCTCAGCCTACCTATTAGCCTAGACCTTTTAAATCCAAAGACTCTAGGCTCTTGAAGTATTTAAACCTAAAACCTCCAAGCCTAACGCCTGGAAACCTGTAAACCTGTAGGAATGTAAGCATCTAAGCCTAAAGCATAAAGCCTAAAACCTAAAGCCTAAAGCCTAAAGCCTAAAGCTTAAAGCCTAAAGCCTAAACCCTAACGCCTGTAAGCCTGCAAGCTTTTAAGCCTGTAAGCCCGTCAGCCTCTAAACCTCTAAGTCTCTAAGTCTAAAGCCTCTAAGCCTACTGTCCTTAAGACTTAAGCCTGTAAGTCTAGAGACTTTAAGCCTATAGTCTCTAAAGCTGAAATCTGTAAGCCTAACGCCTTTAAGTCTGGAACTCCTAAGCCTAAAGTCTTTAAGCCTAAAGTCTCTGAGCCTCAAGTCTCTGAGCCTCAAGTCTCTAAGCCTAAACCCCTAACACTAAACCTCTAAAGCGCCTAAACTTACACTTCTAACTAGTAAGCCCAAATTGTTTGGGCCTAATTCGTTAATTTAAAGCCTATAAGCTTAAAACCCCAGCCTAGCCTAATGTTTCTTAAAATTAAAAAAAGTTGGTTAGAATACAGTAAGACTATAAAACCTCAAAAACAATGATATTGAATGTTTTGTCAATGAAAACTTTGTGACTATTTATACTCCATCAGGATCTCGATTCAAGGCGTGGCGATCCAAAATTGGTCTTTTAGCAAAAGCATATTAAAATCTAATCAAACTGGTTTGTCAAACTAATAACAACATTGGCCTGATTTAAAATTCAAATCCATTTATGCTTACGAAATTCACACGCTAGTGATCAATGCATTACTCACTGAGGTAACGTAAATATCACTCCAATAGTGTAAATACAGTTTTGGAGAGATTAGAGGTCAAGCATGGTGGGAAAGATCAAAAAGTAAATGCTCGGCTAGGAGGGTAAATGTTCGGCTAGAAAGTTAATCTGCTAGAACAAGCGGTTTCAGACCACCGCTGGCGCTCACACGTCTTTCACGGTAACAGTAATTAACATAATGTTGGAAACAGTTTTATTGTTATTGCTTTTGTTTTGATGTATATGTTATTGCTTATGTACTACAATAGAGCCAAAGAAAGCTTGAGAAACTGTCAACGGCAAAAAGAATGACACTGTCGCTCATAAAGAGCAAAGTGTTTGTAATCGGTACAAACAGACACACGCTTACCATTTAGGTTCATTGATAAATTTCTTACAATAAAGCGTTGAACAAAACTCAAAGACGTTGTTGAAGCATATTAAAACAAGGAAGTTAAGTACAAAAACACAGAACAGGAACAACAAGCACAGTACACGACTAGAAAAGACTAGACAACAATAGTTAGGTAAAAAACTGCTATTAAAAAAACAAAACAAAGCCAGATTGCTTGAACGACCAAGAAGAACATGATCAGACTAATTCTCAAGCTATGAGCCAAAGAAAAGACTATCTTATGTTAGATATCAAATCTAGACTTCACAAATAAAGTTCTTATCATTTTCTGATCTGTAAAGAAAGTTCTTGTTATTTTTTGTTTTGTAAAGAAAATTCTTGCCATTTATTGTTTTGTAAATAAAGTTCTTGTCATTTTTTGCTTTGTAAAGAAAGTTCTTGCCATTTTTTGTTTTTAAAGAAAGTTATTGCCTTTTTTTGCAAAGCTACGTTTTAGAGACCAAGTTCTCGTAGCCTTTTGAAAACAAGTTTTGTCGTCATATGAATGATTTCATGAATGATTTTGCATAGCAATGATCAACAGGCTTGTACAAATGATTCTTTTTTGAAAATTTAATTGTTTTGCACTTTTATCACGTGTCCTTTCAAATATGTCTAAAGGATATTAGGCCGCTTTACTAGCAGAATATATATATTACAAAAGGAAAAAGATGCCATCTTACTTTGCACAACATAACTGTTTTATATGGAACTTTCATCGCAAGAGCTTTCTTTACAAATCAAAAAATGGCAAGAACTTTCTTTACAAAACACAAAATGGCAAGAACTTTCTTTACAAATTAAGAAATGGCAAAAACTTTCTTTACAAATCAAGAAATGGCAAGAACTTTCTTTACAAAACATAAAATGGCAAGAAATTTGATTTTTAATGTGTGTACTGTAGGTTACTGTAACATGTTACCAAAAGCTTCGTTTTGAACTTTTGCCTTTAGCCTTGTATTTATATTTATGTTAATATTGTTAGTCAAGTTCTATAAAAAGAACTACAGTCAAGACCAATGCGAGATCACAGTCTGACGCAATGACACGTTTGAAATGGGAAAAACCCGCTTTTAAATTTATGCTAATTCGCTGGAAATTTGAAAGGCTAATTTTATGTAGTTTTACTGGGTAGAATACAGTAAGCGTAGACGTCATGCTAACTGTAGCTTTAGGATTTACCAAAATGTAGGGAAAGGGTATAGTAGCTGCAGGGAATGACCCAGGGTATTGGTAGGGCTAAAGCTATAGTGTCTAAGTTACTATGGATAAACTACGTTAAGGTAAGACAGTAGGTTAGGGTAGTGTAGAGTAGGGTAGGAGCGGTAGAGCAAACCGTTTTTAAAAAAATTTGGACTAAAAAAACAAGTTCGCGCCGGTCCGACATAAGACTAGTCTTTGTTATATCAAATTCTTATACTTTTTGTTCACTCACTTCCCCATAAACTCAGCTTGATTTTTTTTTATTTTGCGGTATAATATTTATCAACTCAAGATGCACATATGTAGATTTGATTGACAATGTCTGATTGTCTTACTGTATTTCTTTTCAAATGAAATCTTTTGTTTTTGTTTGATTTGTATGTAAAGAAAGTTTTTGCCATTCCTTGTTTTGTAAAGAAAGTTCTTGCTATTTTATGTATTGTAAAGAAAGTTCTTGCCATTTCTTGTATTGTAAAGAAAGTTCTTGCTATTTTTTGCATTGTAAAAAAAGTTCTTGCCATTTTATGTATTTTAAAGAAAGTTCTTGCCATTTCTTGTATTGTAAAGAAAGTTTTTGCCATTTCTTGTTTTGTAAAGAAAGTTCTTGCCATTGTTTAGTATGTAAAGAAAGTTCTTGCTATTTTTAAGTTTTAAAGAAAGTTCTTGCATTTTTTGTTTTGTAAAGAAAGTTCTTGCCAGTTTTGTTTTGTAAAGAAAGTTCTTGCCATTTTTGTTTTGTAAAGAAAGTTCTTGCCATTTTTTGTTTCGTAAAGAAAGTTCTTGCCATTTATTGTCCTGTAAAGAAGGTTCTTGCCATTTTTTGTTTCGTAAAGAAAGTTCTTGCCATTTTTTGTTTCGTAAAGAAAGTTCTTGCCATTTATTGTCCTGTAAAGAAAGTTCTTGCCATTTTATGTTTCGAAAAGAAAGTTCTTGTCATTTTTGTTTTGTAAAGAAAGTTCTTGCCATTTTTTGCATTGTAAAGAATGTTTTTGCCATTTCTTGTTTTGTAAAGAAAGTTCTTGCCGTTTTGAGTTTTGTAAAGAAAGTTCTTGCCATTTTTTGTCCTGTAAAGAAAGTCCTTGCCATTTTTCGGTTTGTAAAGAAAGTTCTTGCCATTTTATGTTTCGAAATGAAAGTTCTTGTCATTTTTGTTTTGTAAAGAAAGTTTTTGCTATTACTCACTTTTTAAACTAAGTTTCCGCGATTCCTTTGATCTTTTACCTTCCAGGTATCCCCAGTCATGTTTATGTGTTTTGTCGGTGAAAAGTTCAAATTTCGAACATTCGAATACAATTTTCTTATTATTTGAATCGATGTTTTAAAATTCGATCCGACGGAAATAAAAATAGCGGAAGAAAAAAACGAAAAGGCGCTTCTTCTGATTCCGAATCGAATCGAATAATATTTGAAAATGTTCTTTAAAATTTACCGAAGACGGTAATTTATTGCCTCAGGCGGAAGTAGACCATCTTTGGCTTTTTCGTTTTAAAATTATTTGGTGGTGTTTTAAAGTGATTAGAAGTTTATTTTAAACTTTTCTGGTATGTTTAGGTTTTGACGTGGGCTAGGTTTAAGTTTAAATTTAGGCTTGGCTTTGTATGGCTTACGCGCAGTAGGCTTTGGCTTATTTTACATGGGTTTAGTATGGCTTAGACATGGGAGGCTTAGCCTTAGTAGGCTTAGTAGGCATAGTAAGCTTAGGCTTAGTAGGCTTAAGCTTAGTTGACATGGGTTTAGTAAGTTTAGGTTTAATAGAGTTAGGCCTAACAGACTTAGGCTTAGTAGGCTTACACTAAGATTTAAAAGTTAAAAATTTGTTAGGCTTGGAAGACTTAAGGTAAGTTTTATGAGCTTAGTAGGCTTGGGCTTAGTAGGCTTAGGCATGGTAGGCTTAAGCTTAGTAGGCTTAAGCTTACTAAGCTTAGGCTTAGTAGGCTTATGCTTAGTAGGCTTAGACTTTCTAGGCTCAAGGTTAGAAAACTTAGCCTGAAGTTTAGGCTAAACTTTAAAACGTAAACTTATGTTTAAGCTGATAATTCGTCTGAGGCTGAAGTTTGACTTCAGGAATAAGCTTTCTTGAAGGTTTAGACTTAAATGTAGGCTTATTAGGCTCTAAATCTTACAATTAGCATGTTGTGACGACTGGTGTTAAGAAAGAGCCACTACGATGAATTTTTTAATTTCTAATTTTTTTGTGTTAATTCGGATCTCAAGGGGGGATCCTACATAAAACGCCTATAATAATAATAAGCCCACAAGATAAGGTTATAAGATTTACCTTTCCTCAAACAATCAACAATAATATAATATTAAACCGATATGAAGTAAGATCCAGGTATAAAGTGTGTGACGTCCTTCGGACGTCCCAACTGTCCCGAGCCTGCTGACCAACTACTGACTGTCCCGTTTTCTGATCGTCCTTCCCTTTTATCGTGCTGTCCACTTACGTGGTGCGGAATGCCAAGTGCTGTTCGTTGTCGTTGCGGGACCCAAAGGGTGCGCTCGTGCTAGGTCCAACTGTTAAGCCTTGACTTTTTAAGTATTAAAATTAAAAATCTTGACCAAATAAACAAGAACTTTCTTTCCAACCAAAAAAAGTGCACAAAAAACGTCTCGCCTTTGAAATTAAACCTCTTTTCATAACAAACTACAACTTTCCTCGAGATGACAAAACCCTTGATATTGGTAATCTGCTTGTTGCCAGCCAGCTGATAAACCCTCTTACAACGTCGTGTTTGGTTTGATAACGAAAAATTTTGTCAGTTTTGCTAAATTGTGTGAAAGTTGATGTTAAGCGGCATTGATAAGGATAACTATGATGTTTTAGTCATTTCTGATGGTTTTGTTTAAAAAATACCTGTAAACAAAGTTTTTGCCATTTATTAACTTAGAAAGTTCTTGCCATTTTTTGTTTTGTAAAGAAAGTTCTTGCCATTTTTTGTTTTGTAAAGAAAGTTCTTGCCGTTTTTTGTTTTGTAAAGAAAGTTCTTGCCATTTTTTGTTTTGTAAAGAAAGTTCTTGCCGTTTTTTGTTTTGTAAAGAAAGTTCTTGCCATTTTTTGTTTTGTAAAGAAAGTTCTTGCCGTTTTTTGTTTTGTAAAGAAAGTTCTTGCCATTTTTCGATTTGTAAAGAAAGTTCTTGCCGTTTTTTTTGTTTTTGATTTAGCAAATGATTTTACCCATAAACTACTCATCAAAAGAATTTATAAAGTGATAAAACGTGATGAGCTAATTAAGAGTGTAAATCAGAAAGGCTTAATGGAAGCACAAAAAATTAAAGAAATTACAAAAAACATGGCATTTTTAAGCGTAATATAATAAGCTTGGTAGTGTAGTGTAGGGTAGGGTAGTGTAGGGTAGGGTAGAGTAGGGTAGGGTAGTGCAGGGTAGGGTAGGGTAGGGTAGGGTAGGGTAGGGTAACTTTTTTGCAAAAACATTTTTAAAGTGTATGTAGGGAGGAGGGAGAAATGAAAGATGTGGAAGAGGGGGGGGGGATATATTTGCTTATGTGCGGAATTGAAGTGTATTTAAAATGACATTTTTTCAATTTTTTTTTGTTTTTCAGGATGGCAAGGCCGTTGCTGGACGAGCAAGTTCATTACAATGAAGGAAGGCCGATAGCTGATCCAAGTGGTGATGGCGATGGCAAAACAGGAGATGATGATGATGGGTAGGGTCTTTTGTTCAAAATTGTTTAGTTTAATCTCAGGCTAAAAAGCTTAAGGTTTTGTAGAGTTGGGCTTAGAAGTTTTAGGCACGGTAGGCTTAGGCTCACTAAGCTCAGGTTTGGTCGGCTATAGTTTTGTAGGCTTAGGCTTAACCTTGACTCGTCGTAGAAAAATAAAGTCAAAACCCCAGCACTCGCAGTAATTTGGTGGGTCGTTTTACATCGAGGCAGATATGACATAAAACCATAAAATTACTTCAGAAAAAGTTGCGCAACACGATTTCTGACAATTTCTCTGAGGCTATACAGTTATATAACTGATATTAGGTAATGTCGCAAAATTTTCCTTTATTTTTGTTCTTTAATGCAAAGTTGCAATTTATGCGTTGAGGTCTGAACCTACAATAATATAAATTTAAGCTAACGATCTAAATTAGGCTTAGGTTTATTAAGCTTAGGCTTAGCAGACTTAGGCTTGGTAGGCTTAGGCTTAGTAGGCTTAGGCTTATTAAACTTAGGCTTGGTAGGCTTAGACTTAGCAGACTTAGGCTTAGTAAACTTAGGCTTAGTAGGAATAGGCTTAGTAGGCTTAGGCTTAGTAGGCTTAGGCTTAGTAAACTTAGGCTTAGTAAGAATAGGCTTAGTAGGCTTAGGCTTAGTAGGCTTAGGCTTAGTAAACTTAGGCTTAGTAGGAATAGGTTTAGTAGGCTTAGGCTTAGTAGGCTTAGGCTTAGTAAACTTAGGCTTAGTAGGAATAGGCTTAGTAGGCTTAGGCTTAGTAAACTTAGGCTTAGTAGGAATAGGCTTAGTAGGCTTAGGCTTAGTAGGCTTAGGCTTAGTAAACTTTGGCTTAGTAGGAATAGGCTTAGTAGGCTTAGGCTTAGTAGGCTTAGACTTATTAAACTTAGGCTTAGTAGGCATAGGCTTAGTAGGCTTAGGCTTAGTAAACTTAGGCTTAGTAGGCTGAGGCTTAGTGGACCTAAGTTTAGTAAGCTTAAGCTTAGTAGGCTTAGGCTTAAGCTTAGTAAACGTAGGCTTAGTAGGAATAGGCTTAATAGGCTTAGGCTTAGTAGGCTTAAGCTTTTTAAACTTAGAATTTGTAGGGTTAGGCTTAGTAGGCGTAGACTTAGTAGGCCTAAGTTTAGTAAGCTTAAGCTTACTAGGCTTAGGCTTTGTAGACTTAGGTTCTAGTAGTTTTAGGCTTATTAAGCTTAGATGAGCAGTTTTTTAAAAGCGTTAGCCCTGTTCATGTTAGGCTTAAATTCGGTTTGCTTGACTTAAGTTGAGGCATAATTGCTTTAGGCTTAGTAACCTTGCGTTTAGCTGAATGAGGCTCAGTAAGCTTATGTTTAATAGCCTTTTTTAATGTAAAATACGCTGGGGCGAGTTTAAAATTCAAAAAAAAATTGTATGTATTTTAGTGACAGTATATCCAGCGATGAAGAAGCCGAAGGCATTCGAGAAAGTAAACATGAGTTCTTCTCTCGACATTTGCATAATATGATACATTTTCTGGTCGAGGACTGGTTCATCTCGGCTATGTTAGGCTTCATAACAGCTATTTTGTCAATTGCTGTGGATATGTCATACGAGTACCTTAATCATTGTAAGTTTAAAATGGCGAAAACTTTCTTTACAAGACATAAAATGGCAAGAACTTTTTTTACAAAACATAAGTAGCAAAAACTTTCTTTACAAATCCAAAAGTTGCAAGAATTTTCTTTACAAAACATAAATAGCAAAAACTTTCATTAGCAACCAAAAATAGCAAGAACTTTCTTTACAAAACAAGAAATGGCAAGAACTTTCTTTACAAAACATAAATAGCAAAAACTTTCTTTACAAATCAAAAAATGGATAGAATTTTCTTTACAAAACAAATAATGGCAAAAACTTTCTTTACAAAACAAAACATGGCAAGAACTTTCTTTACAATAACTTTTTACAGACAAAGTAATCGTATACGACCAAGCAATGAAAGTCGACCACATAGTTGGCTTCACGGCATGGGTAATGTACATAGTGGCATTTGTGGGTCTCGGCGCGATTGTTTGCAAGTACATTTCGAAACATGCGATTGGAAGTGGCATTCCTGAAGTCAAGGTCATTATGAATGGCTTCATGCTTCAGAACTACCTCACGTTCAGAACGTTGGTGGCTAAAGTGGCAGGCCTGGTACTAACGCTGGGAAGTGGACTACCTGTGGGCAAGGAAGGACCATTTGTGCATATGGGGGCTATTGTAGCCACGTTGTTGGCTAAAGCTACTAGACCGTTCCAGCAAAGCGCGTTTTACTCGAACGAAGGCAGAGATGTGGAGATATTGAGCAGTGGATGTGCTGTGGTAAGGGGGGGGGGTATGGTATTGGAGGTTAGAGTAAAAAGAGTGCTATATATATACTCTGTATATTATAGATGATTAAGGTAAGCTACAGTATAGTAAGACGAAAATAAGGCTTAAACAAGCTAAGGAACCGTAAGCTTAAAGTAGGATAGCACAAGGGTAGGGTAGATCAAGCGTAGGCCATTAGTAAAGTAAGATAGGCAGGCCAAGGGCAAGTTAGGTGAAGGATAAGGTAGGCCAAGAGTAGAGCGTGCCTAAGATAAGCCAAGACATAAACAGGGGGGTTCTAAGACAGGTTAAGCTAAAGATAAAGCAGACCAAAAATAAGGTAGGCCAAAAATAGGGCAGGCTAAAGTTAGGGCACGACATTATCTTAAGCCAAGTGTAGGGTAGGGTAGGGGTAAAAAAGCTCAAGGGTAGATTTGGCTAGGCTAAAGCTAGAGCAAGCGGGATGCGTAGGGAGGGTCAAAAACAGGGCTTTAAGCAAGGGCTAGGGCTCTGGGCTCTGGGCTAGGGTTAAGACAGAATAAAAAAATTTTTAATTTTGTTTTTTAGGGTATTGCTTGCACCTTCTCAGCGCCAGCTGGTGCAGTACTATATGGAATCGAGTCGACTCACAAATATTTTGCTGTAAAATCATATTGGCGATCTTTTTTTGCCACGACTTGTTCAGCATTACTATTTCGATTTGTGAATTATGCTATTATTCCGAAGGACATTGCTGGTGCTATCACTGCTTATTACCAAACCAGCTTTCCGAATGAAGTGTTTGTGGTCGAAGAGATACCTATTTTTGCTTTTATTGGGTATGTTTTGGCTTTTTTGAGTTTTTTAAAGCTTTTTAAAATTGTTTAAATTTTTTTTATTTGAATTTTTTTAAAATTCGAAAAAAAAATTATTTTTTATTTTTCTCAATTTTTTTAAAATTTTAGAATTTGTTGTTTAAAACGTATTTACTGGTTTTTTTAACTTTTAAATTAAAAAAAAAAATTTAAAGCCATTTTTAATATTTTTTTAATTTTAGAATCTTAAGTGGCCTACTTGGAGCAGTATTCTTGATTCTACATGGCTGGATCTCTAAATTTATTCGAAAAAATCGAATTTTTCTGAAAGTTTTTGGTAAAGAGTAAGTTGTAAACAAAGTTCTTTCTGTTTTTTATTTTGTAGAGAAAATTCTTGAAATTTTTTACTTTGTCAAAAATGTTTTTGTCATTTTTTGTTTTGTAAAGAAAGTTCTTGCTATTTTTTAGTTTGTAAAGAAAGTTCTTGCGCTTTCAAATCAATATTTTTTATTTTTAGTGGATTTGCCTTCACAATATTTATGGCATTTGTAGTCGGTATCATCACCTTCCCAGCTGGAGTAGGTAGCTATGTTCATGGTCGTTACAATTTCCGTGAGACCTTGAGTGATTTAATTTCCAATTGTACCATGACACTGTATGATACTGACACGAATCGTGGGTGCAGCAAAGCCATGGTATTTAGATGGACGGCTGATGCTGCGGCTACCGTACCTAACGTTTTTCCAACCTTGGCTGGGTACTTTTTTGTTATGGTAAGTACCTCGTCCTACCCTACCTTACGCCTTGCCTTGCCTTGCCCTGGCCTTGCCCTGGCCTTGCCCTGGCCTTGCCCTGGCCTTGCCCTGGCTTTGCCCTGGCCTTGCCCTGGCCTTGCCCTGGCCTTGCCCTGGCCTTGCCCTGGCCTTGCCCTGGCCTTGCCCTGGCCTTGCCCTGGCCTTGCCCTGGCCTTGCCCTGGCCTTGCCCTGGCCTTGCCCTGGCCTTGCCCTGGCCTTGCCCTGGCCTTGCCCTGGCCTTGCCCTGGCCTTGCCCTGGCCTTGCCCTGGCCTTGCCCTGGCCTTGCCCTGGCCTTGCCCTGGCCTTGCCCTGGCCTTGCCCTGGCCTTGCCCTGGCCTTGCCCTGGCCTTGCCCTGGCCTTGCCCTGGCCTTGCCCTGGCCTTGCCCTGGCCTTGCCCTGGCCTTGCCCTGGCCTTGCCCTGGCCTTGCCCTGGCCTTGCCCTGGCCTTGCCCTGGCCTTGCCCTGGCCTTGCCCTGGCCTTGCCCTGGCCTTGCCCTGGCCTTGCCCTGGCCTTGCCCTGGCCTTGCCCTGGCCTTGCCCTGGCCTTGCCCTGGCCTTGCCCTGGCCTTGCCCTGGCCTTGCCCTGGCCTTGCCCTGGCCTTGCCCTGGCCTTGCCCTGGCCTTGCCCTGGCCTTGCCCTGGCCTTGCCCTGGCCTTGCCCTGGCCTTGCCCTGGCCTTGCCCTGGCCTTGCCCTGGCCTTGCCCTGGCCTTGCCCTGGCCTTGCCCTGGCCTTGCCCTGGCCTTGCCCTGGCCTTGCCCTGGCCTTGCCCTGGCCTTGCCCTGGCCTTGCCCTGGCCTTGCCCTGGCCTTGCCCTGGCCTTGCCCTGGCCTTGCCCTGGCCTTGCCCTGGCCTTGCCCTGGCCTTGCCCTGGCCTTGCCCTGGCCTTGCCCTGGCCTTGCCCTGGCCTTGCCCTGGCCTTGCCCTGGCCTTGCCCTGGCCTTGCCCTGGCCTTGCCCTGGCCTTGCCCTGGCCTTGCCCTGGCCTTGCCCTGGCCTTGCCCTGGCCTTGCCCTGGCCTTGCCCTGGCCTTGCCCTGGCCTTGCCCTGGCCTTGCCCTGGCCTTGCCCTGGCCTTGCCCTGGCCTTGCCCTGGCCTTGCCCTGGCCTTGCCCTGGCCTTGCCCTGGCCTTGCCCTGGCCTTGCCCTGGCCTTGCCCTGGCCTTGCCCTGGCCTTGCCCTGGCCTTGCCCTGGCCTTGCCCTGGCCTTGCCCTGGCCTTGCCCTGGCCTTGCCCTGGCCTTGCCCTGGCCTTGCCCTGGCCTTGCCCTGGCCTTGCCCTGGCCTTGCCCTGGCCTTGCCCTGGCCTTGCCCTGGCCTTGCCCTGGCCTTGCCCTGGCCTTGCCCTGGCCTTGCCCTGGCCTTGCCCTGGCCTTGCCCTGGCCTTGCCCTGGCCTTGCCCTGGCCTTGCCCTGGCCTTGCCCTGGCCTTGCCCTGGCCTTGCCCTGGCCTTGCCCTGGCCTTGCCCTGGCCTTGCCCTGGCCTTGCCCTGGCCTTGCCCTGGCCTTGCCCTGGCCTTGCCCTGGCCTTGCCCTGGCCTTGCCCTGGCCTTGCCCTGGCCTTGCCCTGGCCTTGCCCTGGCCTTGCCCTGGCCTTGCCCTGGCCTTGCCCTGGCCTTGCCCTGGCCTTGCCCTGGCCTTGCCCTGGCCTTGCCCTGGCCTTGCCCTGGCCTTGCCCTGGCCTTGCCCTGGCCTTGCCCTGGCCTTGCCCTGGCCTTGCCCTGGCCTTGCCCTGGCCTTGCCCTGGCCTTGCCCTGGCCTTGCCCTGGCCTTGCCCTGGCCTTGCCCTGGCCTTGCCCTGGCCTTGCCCTGGCCTTGCCCTGGCCTTGCCCTGGCCTTGCCCTGGCCTTGCCCTGGCCTTGCCCTGGCCTTGCCCTGGCCTTGCCCTGGCCTTGCCCTGGCCTTGCCCTGGCCTTGCCCTGGCCTTGCCCTGGCCTTGCCCTGGCCTTGCCCTGGCCTTGCCCTGGCCTTGCCCTGGCCTTGCCCTGGCCTTGCCCTGGCCTTGCCCTGGCCTTGCCCTGGCCTTGCCCTGGCCTTGCCCTGGCCTTGCCCTGGCCTTGCCCTGGCCTTGCCCTGGCCTTGCCCTGGCCTTGCCCTGGCCTTGCCCTGGCCTTGCCCTGGCCTTGCCCTGGCCTTGCCCTGGCCTTGCCCTGGCCTTGCCCTGGCCTTGCCCTGGCCTTGCCCTGGCCTTGCCCTGGCCTTGCCCTGGCCTTGCCCTGGCCTTGCCCTGGCCTTGCCCTGGCCTTGCCCTGGCCTTGCCCTGGCCTTGCCCTGGCCTTGCCCTGGCCTTGCCCTGGCCTTGCCCTGGCCTTGCCCTGGCCTTGCCCTGGCCTTGCCCTGGCCTTGCCCTGGCCTTGCCCTGGCCTTGCCCTGGCCTTGCCCTGGCCTTGCCCTGGCCTTGCCCTGGCCTTGCCCTGGCCTTGCCCTGGCCTTGCCCTGGCCTTGCCCTGGCCTTGCCCTGGCCTTGCCCTGGCCTTGCCCTGGCCTTGCCCTGGCCTTGCCCTGGCCTTGCCCTGGCCTTGCCCTGGCCTTGCCCTGGCCTTGCCCTGACCTTGCCCTGACCTTGCCCTGGCCTTGCCATGGCCTTGCCCTGGCCTTGCCTTGCCTTGCCTTGTCTTGCCTTGTCTTGTCTTGCCTTGTCTTGTCTTGCCTTGTCTTGTCTTGCCTTGTCTTGCCTTATTTCTGTGTACTGTAGCTACAGTAACACAAGTGTCTTATTAAGTTTAATAATTTCAGTTTGTCTTAGTACCAATTTGTATCACACTAGCAGTACCAGCTGGTATTTTTGTACCAGCATTCGTACTAGGCGCTTGTGGCGGGAGAATAATTGGTGAAGTTATGGTAATGTTGTTTCCAGACGGCATGAGAGGGCCACTGGGGCCACAAATCTACCCTGGACTGTATGCTGTTGTGGGTACGGTACTTTTTCAAATTTTTGAAATTTTTTAACTTTTAGGAGCAGCAGCATTTACTGGAGCTGTAACCCATTCCTTATCAATTGCTGTTATCGTATGTGAAACTACTGGTCAATTGAGTCCATTATTGCCTGTTTTGGTAAGTTACTGTATCTTATCCCAAGCCCAGAATCCTAGCTTAGAACCCTAGCCTAGAGCCCTAGCCCGGAGCCCTAGTCCAGAGTCCTAGCCCAGAGCCCTAGCACAAAGCCCAGAGCCCAAAGCCCAAAGCCCAAAGCCCTAGCCCTGTACCAGCCTTGTCTTAGGCTTGCCCCGCCCTTGCTCCGGAGCTACCTACTATAGTCATCTTTAAGAGTTCTCAAACCTTGTTTGAAGCCTACCTTAGGCTTCTTACTAGGTCTATGCTAAGTTTGTTCTAGGCTTTTTCTAGTCCTATCTTAGACCTGCCCTAGCCTAGACTTAGCCACACCTTTTATTCACTCTAGCCCTGCCTTCGCCCTATCATAACCTCCTTTAAACTCAAACCTAGCCCTTTCTTTCATTTATTTCTTAGCCTTTCTTTACCTTTTACCCTTTAGCCCTACTCAAATCCTGCTTGACCTTATGTTAATATACCTAAATTTAGATAGCTCTAATGATAGGAAACGCAGTGTCGAGTTTTCTACACCCTAGTATTTATGAAAGTATTATTTTATTAAAAAAGTATCCACACTTGACAGAACTACCGCCCAGTAGAATCAGTGTGCATACGATGAAAGTTGAACAAATTATGGTACGAGACATTGTTTATATCACCAAAGATACCACTTATAAAGACCTACGAGAGCTGTTGATATCTACACCACAATTGAGGTCGTATCCGCTGGTTACTGACGATGGTATGTTACTTACTTTGAAATACCCTACCCTACCCTACCCTACCCTACCTTACCCTACCCTACTGTACTTACCCTACAATACCGTACTTCATCCTACTCTACCATACCCCACCCTACAATACCGTACCTTACCTTACTCTTCCTTACTCTACCCTATCCCGACTTACTTTACTCTACTGTACCCGCTCTAAAAAACCGTACCTACTCTACTGTACCTTCTCCTAGAATACCGTAGCCTATCCTACTGCAATTTAACTTGTAATACAGTAGCCCACCCACCTTATCTTTTCTCTACCCTACCTTCCACTCTAATCTACCCTTCTCTGCTCGACCTACAAAGCTCTTGCCCTACTCTACCGTAATTTACTCAACCCTAATACATACGGTATTACGTTTAAATTTTAGAAGAACGAATTCTACTTGGTTCAGTAGCAAGAAAGTACCTCAACTTCCTAGTAACGATACATTTGGGAAACGATCCTAGTCTGGCCAGAAGACGCTCCCACGCTTCGGAAATTCTAGGGGCTTATAACAGGAATAGTATTATGAGGTCAAGCATGTCCGGTCACACATTATTGTCCAATAGCCCTCTTCATGAAGGGCAGAAACGTAGGTTTTTGTATACTTCCTGACCCTCTCCCCTCGTCATTGGTCCTGTTAGCGACCAAACAAGTTACATTAGCTTTCCTAGTCTGACCATTCGTACTTGTTTTTGAAAATTTTGTTTCGGCGTTTTGCCATTTTAAAAAGAAATTTTGGCGGGGCTCATCCAACCCCCTCATTCCGTTTCACACTCCCAATCGCCAGTTTGCATCCCCCAATCTCCAACACCAGGTCGATCCCACTTGGCCGAACCATATTGGCAATGTCCGAAGTTGAAGGTTGAGGGTCGCGCGAATGAGTGCTGGTCTACTGACTGGTCAGAGCGGTGAGTGGCGGAACAGAATGAAGAATTTGCAAGCCTTTTATACACGTTTTCATTGATTTCGTAAAGTCATTTCATTTTTTAAATTCAAAGCTATACCTTTTAAACATATAAGAATATTGAACGTCCGGTGACCCGCTAGCCAAATACATTTAGCAGTTTTTTAAAACGGCTTTCTTGGTAATTTTTTTTTCATACAGGGTGCGTAAAAAGTGTTGTTACAAAACTTTAAAATAAATATTTGATTAAAATACTGTGTAACATTACTTTTTACGCACCCTGTATAGGTCATAATTTTATAATGTGAGAGACGCAACTCCCTTTTTACCCCAGGCCGTCTAACTCCGTACCGTACAAATGACATTAGATGCTTTTGAAATACGTTAAACAATTGTACTTGTAATTTTGAGCCGCCGTATTTTACAAAACTAAGTTATTGCTTTTCAGGACACAGTGTAAAAAGTGCATTAGGATTGTATAAAAAGTCAGATCCATCATTGGTGAGTGCTTCAATTAGTCATAAAATTTAAAAAAAACGACACTATTAATAAAATACAAATAAATTACACCTAATTTTATAATGCTACCTATTTCTTACTACATATGTCTTATTATCCATGCTTATAATTGTACAAACTTAATTCCAGGCCGACCACGCCCTTCTAGACCGAGCGGCAAAGCTAGAAAAGCCCATCGACGTGGAGTCGTTGGCTGTGGATTCGGCTCCGTTTCAACTGGTAATCGGCACCAGTTTATTCAAAGTTCACACCTTATTCTCATTACTGGGCTTGAATCACGCTTATGTCACCCATCGTGGACGGCTGGTCGGAGTTGTGGCTTTGAGAGAGGTAGGGTTGTTTGAGAAAACTTTCACGTGTCTACCGTTAGACATAAAGAACGGGCTAAGCCGAACCAATTTTTTCAAAACACAAAAATATAATTCGAAATTTCAGCTCCGACTAGCCCTATCAGACATCTACGTACGTGGTGCAGTGGTCCACAAGGATTCGTGGGCAGGTTCTCACAACCGGCTAAACGACTTCCTAATTGACAAGCCAGAAATCCTAAAAGGAAGCAAAACCATGCCCAACTACTACAACAATGGCCCCACCTTCACCACCAACTTGAACGATGTGAACTCAAACAAAATGACCGACCTGGCCAATTTCAAAGAATTAAAAGCTTTATTGCCTCAGGACAGCGACGAATCCGAGTCCTCTGGCATTTCGATTCATATTAGTCCACCGACGGATGGGGATGGTCAGCAAGATAGTCAGAGTGAAGGTACTGATAACAATGATGATGCACATGAAGAAACGTTGCTTTTGAATGATATTGAGCAGGTTGATGAGATTGGTGATAACAAGAAAAATTGAGTGTAGAAAAAATTGTTAATGTAGTCAGTGACGTCGCTATTGGTTTTTTCTAGTAGCGGTGGAGGGCTCTTTATACACTTAGTGGGTCTCTTATTGTAGTCTTCTGTATATATTAATAATGTACATAGCATTTTTTTGTAAAATACGTTTTCATTTCATTTATAAAAATTATTGTAAAAAATTTTTTTTGTTTTTTTTTGCATCTGAAAAATTCAACTGTGATTAGACCTGAAAAAGGGGCTTGACTCGGCTCAATTTTAGCTTGACCGAAGCCAATTTGCAAATGGCTGAACCGGTAATCGTGGGCCTGAGGGACCAGGCTTAAATTCGGTAACAAAAAACACTGGCTGTGGATAATTTTGTTATTATTTAAATTTATATAAGGGACCGGATCGGGCCAAAGCGACCTTGAAAAGCAAGGCCGGACCGGATCACGTTGGTTTAAGAAATGTGTCCCAAACTAAGGTCTGGCATGTGAGTTAGTCCAAAAGTTAGTCTCGTCCTTTTACAAGTTGCGGAAGCAAGGCCGGGCCGACACAAGTGGGCTTGAAGAAAAGAGCCGAAACCAAAAAAAACCGAAAAATATAGCTTGGCCCTTTTACAGGTTTAGCTTTGATAGCCTTTAAAATATCTTAGAAAACAACTCTTGTGATATAAGACTTGCCGGGTATTGTTATACGTATCATTGTTAGCTATATTGTTATTAACCCAATCTTAATGTCCTACAAGAAAGAATTATTTTACTATGCTTTTTCAATTAACAATTTGAAATTATTTAAAATTTTACAAACATTTTGCAAATTCTCATTAAATGAGTAATTTAAACCGGAATTAAAATTTGTTCGTTTACGCCATTTGTCGCGTAAATTGCGAACGTTTTAAGCGAACACAACAACATTAATCGGATTAGTTTAAGTAATGTTGCTCAACACGTAAGAACCGGCTGGACTTGCTGAATATTTGTTGAGAAAGTTTATAGTGCAAAAAAAATACAAAAACTTTCTTTACATGACATAAAAAATTTGAAAAGCGTCTGAAATACAAGCTACCCTATCCTACCCTACCCTACCCTATCCTACCCTACCCTACCCTACCCTACCCTACCCTACCCTACCCTACCCTACCCTACCCTACCCTACCCTACCCTACCCTACCCTAACTTACCCTACTCTACCCTACCCTATCCTACCCTACTTTACCCTACCCTACCCTACCCTACCCTACCCTACCCTACCCTACCTTACCCTACCCTACCCTAAGCTACCCTACCCTACACTACCCTACCCTACCCTACCCTACCCTACCCTACCCTACCCTACCCCACCCTGCCCTACCCTACCCTACCATACCCTACCCTACCCTACCCTACCCTACCCTACCCTAAGCTACCCTACCCTACCCTACCCTACCCTATCCTGCCCTACCCTACCCTACCCTATCCTGCCCTACCCTACCCTACCCTACCCTACCCTACCCTACCCTACCCTACCCTACTCTACCCTACTTTACGCTGCTTCACCTCTACTCGGATTCTGTTCAACCCTTTTCTACCTTACTTAACTGAACCATCGTTTACCCTATCACTCCACCTTGTCTTATTTACTTTACCTTATCCTATGTTCCCATTGTTTACACAGCCAGGGCCGAGAAAGAGCAGTTTTGGTCTGAAGGCGGGGGTTGAAATGAGCATGAGCATGAGCACGAGCACGAGCATGAGCATGAGCATGAGCATGAGCATGAGCATGAGCATGAGCATGAGCATGAGCATGAGCATGAGCATGAGCATGAGCATGGGCATGAGCATGAGCATGGGCATGAGCATGAGCATGAGCATGAGCATGAGCATGAGCATGAGCATGAGCATGAGCATGGGCATGAGCATGAGCATGGGCATGAGCATGAGCATGAGCATGAGCATGAGCATGAGCATGAGCATGAGCATGGGCATGAGCATGAGCATGGGCATGAGCATGAGCATGAGCATGAGCATGAGCATGAGCATGAGCATGAGCATGAGCATGAGCATGAGCATGAGCACGAGCATGAAAATGAGCATGAGCATGAGCATGAGCATGTTTTTCTTCACCTTTCTTTACAATAATTTATTTTACTTTAAATTGCTTTACTCTACTCTATCCTACTACACACATATATTGTTAACATGTTAAGTTTTAAAGTAAGGGTATCATTTTACTTTTGATTTAAGATTTACAATATTATTTGATAATATTTTCTATATCTTCTATACAAAATCGCTATATCAAAGTACAAACGAGTTTTTGAGCTATTGTGAAGTCGTTGTACGTAAGAGAAAGGAACGAGTAACCCTATTAATTGACGTGTTTTTCCTACTTTTTATCTCCAAAAGCGTTCGCAGCGCTTTGTCGGAATGATTACAATCAAATCCACAAGGGAGGGCGAGAAAAACATATCATGTAAACATCGGTAATGGTCATTTTTAGTCTTAAAAAAGTTTTAAGACATTAAGTTGAAAGAGATAATGTAAGACTAGAAATTTTAAAAATAACACTATTTTTGGTCAACGTACAATAGGAAACCCTGCAAAAAGAGGTCCCGCTACATTTGATTTAACCTAATGCATTGGTAGCGCAGTGGCTATAGCGTCGCTCGCTATTCTGAAGAACCTTGGTTCGACCCTACGCCCCGCCCGACCCAGGGGCCTTGAGGAATGGGTACTGCTGAGTGTACATAGAATATGCACATTTATACTTGGACTACACAGGTACATGATCGAATGCCAGAAGTCTTATGAAGCAACTTACCCACGACTCAGTGACGCGAGGGACAGTGAAATACCTGGGGGGAGGCCCAATTATGGGAAATGTCAGACTCAAGGATAGCTCCGTTAGTCTTCATCTAAACCTTGAACATTCTTACACATCAGCACAGTACTTTACACTCTACGGCATCAAACTACTTATGTAATCTATATCTCCCGAATTGTAATTGTAGGCGCTTGAATAATGTAAAGTAAATAAATATAAGTTGGTTGGTTTTACAGAGTGAATTTTAGTGTAAATTTACTTGCCGGAGGCCATATTTCTTGTTTAATATAAAAAGATTTGCTTATACAGATGGTTCACTAGATAGAGAGACCACTGTATCACGATTTGGTTACATTATTGATAAAAAAGATTTAAGAAACCAAACAAACTGTAAAAACGTGTTTTGTAGATCATATTTTATTGTTTTTCATAAAAATTACTTTATCTTTGATTTATCTATTACTCTCTTCTGCTAGTCTTATCTCTACTTTCGCTCCATTTACTTGATTCGTTTACTCCGCCCGCTCATATTTCACTGCTGTATCGACATCTATATCCCCTTCTTCCCCCCCCCCTTTTTATCTCTTATCGCTACCATATGATCCAAATAGCCATATCCGCCCTAATAAGCTCTACATCTTTCCATCCGCCCCTTCCTCTTCCCCCCCCTCCTTGTTTACTAGCCCCCCCCTCCGACAACTCCTTACTTTCATCAACCCCTTAAATCACTATAAAAGCCCACCAAACCCCTAACTTCCTCATCCCTATTGGATCAGACCATCTTGGATCGCACTTTCAATCCAAGACCAAAGACAATGTCAGTGTCCACAGCGACCGGCGGAGCGTTAGTCTTCTCCGGCACCACCATACTCATCTGTATGGTGGCCATGTTGAACATCTACCGTGAGGTGCAATCAGTTTGGGCTGAGTTGGACGTCCAAATGGACCAGTTCAAGGTTAGCACCGAAGACTTGTGGCAGGATATGCTTCAAATGGGCGCGGCTACACCATCCAACCGTGCTCGTCGTGAGTCGTACGGTGGGTATGGAGCTTCTGGAAACCAGGCTCCAGCCTCGAGCAGTGGACCAAGCGGTGGATCGGGAAGTGCTGGAGGCTATGGGGTTGTCAACAGTGTTCCTCATGTTTGCAGTAAGTTTTGGCTTTTTTTTTACTTGTGGTAGGGGGTAGGCTTAAGAGAACTAAACTTTTAATCTTAGGGTTATAAAGCAAAGTTGTAACTTTTAACATTAGGCTTATAAACAGAAGACGTTACAGTAAGCAATGTTTAAAAACAGATTTTAAACTCGTACCAACCTAACACATCAATTCCAGAATGCGCCGCGGAGGACCAAAACAAATGCCCACCAGGACCAGCAGGACCACCCGGAGAAGCCGGCTTGGCCGGAGTACCCGGCTTCCCAGGCAAACCAGGTATCGACGGCGAACAAGCCGACTCCATCTCCAACGAAGCTCCGAAGGGCTGCTTCCACTGCCCAGCCGGCGTTCCAGGAGCGCCAGGTAGCGCCGGCCGCCCCGGTATGCGTGGTATGCGCGGACCAAAAGGTACTCCCGGCTTCCCAGGCCGTGACGGGTTCCCCGGAATCCCCGGCGATCAAGGACCAGAAGGACCAGCCGGTGACGACGGACGCTCGGGAACTCAAGGAGAGAAGGGTGAGGATGCCGAAAAGCCAATCCCACGCAAAGGTCTACGCGGTCATCCCGGAGAACAAGGCCCAGAAGGACCACAAGGTGACCAAGGAGCCGACGGCCCACAAGGTGCTCCAGGACCAAAAGGAGAACAAGGGCCAGCCGGATCCGTGGGATCGGCCGGAGCTCCAGGAGATGAAGGAGGTCCAGGAGCTGAAGGACAAATCGGAAAGGATGCTGAGTACTGCCCATGCCCACCACGTGACGGTGGTAAGGGATCCGGTGGAGCTGGTGGAGAACACGGTGCCGGAGGCTATGGTGAAGAGAAACACAGCGGTTCGGCTGGTGGTGCTGGCGGTTATCGTCGCAGAATCCGCGTGCAATAGAGGCGGTGCAATATAAGAGGAAGTTGATAATTTAGTCAAATTCATTGAATTTTGAATTTAAAAGTGCATGCAATAAATTTTTAATTTGTATTTGAGAGTTGTCTTTAAATCCCTACATTAGCACCAGCTATAGCTTTAGTTTGAATCTGGGTTTCAGCTTAAGCCTATATTGTAGTTTAAGTCTTAAGGCGGAGTTTGAGCTTAAGCTGGAATCTGAGTCCAAACTTAAAGTTAAGCCAGTCTAATCCTAAGTCTAACCGTGAGCTTGACCACTTTTGGTCTTGATCTTAATCTTGATCGTCTTAGCCTAGGCCTTGGTACCAGGGCCGAGCGCTAAAGGGGTGGAGGAAAGGTCGGGGGAGAAGAATCCCCCCCCTGCCCCAAACTTTTCGAAAAAATTTAAACTTGGTGTTTTTTTCGACCCCCGTCCCCAGACCAAAAGTTCCTGCCCGGCCCTTCTTGGTACTAACCCTAGTCTTAGACTTAGTCCCAGGTTAATCCTGGCTTCAATCTAGTCCTACCCTAGACTTAGTTTTAGTCTTATTTCAAGTTATGTAGTCAAAGTAGTCATAATGGACATAAGTATATCTTATCCCGCTTAATGTTATAAAAATTTTTAAAACATTTAGCTTTTTTTAGTATAGTTTGCACAGTAACTTAAAATCATCATTATTAATACATAATATAATACTTATAAGTTCGTCGGCACATGGAAAACCAAGTCTTCGCCAGAACGTCGTTGTTCCGCACTGTGCACTTTAACATTAGCGTAGCTATGTCTTTTAATAACTTTTTTTGAGTCCCAAAAGTAAAATTGCTCCAGGAAAGCGTGTCTGTACTCTTGACTAAAATAGGCTTATTTTAAGGTATAATTTTTACCCAGTCTTTACAGGGTGCGCCAAAAGTTCTGTTACAAAACCAAGAACCATGTAACAGAACTTTTGGCGCACCCTGTATAGCAAACTGTTAGACTAAAAACTGTGACAAATATTTTAAAAAAACTTACTTCAGTCTGTAATAGATGACAAAGTCGCTGAATCCACACAGAGTAAAGACTCCGGTCATAAAAATTCGTATTTTAAACTTATTTTCCTCGCTTAGTTCGCTAACATACACGAATACCAAAGAGATACTGGTGATTAGCCATGTTATAAAGAATGATAGTGTAACAATAATCAATGACTTTATCAGTTTTTTGGTTTTTGTTGCTAAAATTAAGGAATACTGTATATTATTATTAGTAAAATTCAAAAATTTAAAACTAATGACAGTGTTTCCAACTCTAGCTCTAGCTCTAGCTCTAGCTTTAGCTCTAGCTCTAGCTCAAGCTCAAGCTTTAGATCCAGTTCCAACTCCAGCTCTGGACCCGCCTTTCATATATTACCATTTCGGCTCCGATCCCACCTCAGAAGCCGGAGCTGCCTCGGAGCCGGAACAGCTTCCAAAGCCCTATGAAACTCTAATTATTACTGTATTTTTTACCCCTACCTAAGCCAACGTCCCTTTTAAACATATGACTTACGAAGCCCCGTAGCCAACCGCCAAATGTACATGTACACAAATAATGTGACAATAGCAATAATAGCATGCAGTGTGTGAATAAGTAGTACAAATTCTTTGTTATTGGAAAGCACTCCATTTATAGTACAACTAACGTAGGTATTAGAGTTTTGCTTCATCACGTAAAAGCTAAAGCCAATTACAGACAGTGATAAAAGTAAAGGGAAGCAACATACTAGAGGTATGTATGGGAATAGCTCGATTTTTAGATATCTAAAACAATTATTTAGCTCAAAAAAGCTTGAAGAGTTTTAGCCAAAAGACCTAACCCAGAGCCCTAGCCCAGAGCCCTAGCTCAGAGCCCTAACCTTAAGCTTTTCTCAAATCTTATGCCTTTGCTTAGCCTAAAACTCGGCCTTAGTCTAAGCTTTGCTCAAGGCCTAGTCCACGTTTAGCCTAAGGCCACATTTTTAGCATTGTTTGTAACACTAGCTTTGCCATAACCGTCCTTACCCATAATCTACCTCACTATGCCCAAACCCACCATAACTTACATATGTGGCCACTTAACACTAACCAACCGGTCAATTCCAATAACCAAAGCAAAAACAACGGCGCTTGTCATAGAAAACTGAGGTATCAGTTGAATGTAAAAACAATATTCAGCTTCGATTACCAACGTATTCAACAACCATAATATAAAAATCACAATGGTGCCACAAGCCGCCAAGAACAAAAATAAAGCTTGACAGGCTATTAGGATATTACAGTTGCTTCGGAGTTCTCTGGAAACACAAATATTATTAATATCATGAAAAAAGGTATGACTTTGCTTAGAGATTAAAAGGATGGGGACAGAGAAAGAATTAGAGGTAAGTGTAAGAGCATAGTAAGACAAGGTAAGGCCTTCATCAAAACAAAAGTTTGCCCAACGGCTTATGTGCGTTTGTAGCGCAGTGGCTGTGATGCCGCTCACTATTCGGAAGGCCTTTAGTTTGACCCCGTGCCTCGCCCAACCCAAGCGCCTTGAGGAATGGATAGTGCTGAGTGCACGGGGACTGGACACATCTATATTTGGCCTACACGAGTATATGATTGAACGCCAGAAGACTTATGGAGCACCTCGCCCGCGACTCAGTGAGTGATGCGAGGAACAGTGAAATACCTGAAGAGAACCCCAATTGTGAGAAAGGTCAGACTCTAGGATAGCTCCGTTGGTTTTCATCTAAACCTTGAACATCCTTGCACATTAGCAGAGTACGTTACAATCTACAACATCAAACTACTAATCTAATCTATATCTCCCGAATTGTTATTGTAGACGCGTTAAGAATGTAAAAGTAAATAAAAAGCTAAATCTGATCATCACTGTCAATTTAAAATTTTAAAACTTGACTAAGAATCTACCTCTCCCCTTCCCCTCCTTGATTCTTTGCCTTCCTTTTCTTCTAGGCCGACCACCTTTAACCTACTTTTTCCGTATTGTAGCCGCCACAATGTTACTACAACCAAACATGGTTAATGAAGCAGTCAAGCATAAGTATACCATAAGAAAGAAATGATCCATCTTCAACACTCGATGCTTTAAAAGGCACTCTGAAAAATGTAGGCTGTAAATTTTTACTGTACAGATAAAGACAAAAAAGATTATATTAGTGTGACAAAATATCAGGTGTTATAGTAGTTACCAATGAGCGTCTGTCAGAAGTTTACAATCAAATTTTTAATAATAATTTAATACTAATATTATATTAGCTAAAAATTGCCGTTTTCTATGTTCTGCAAGCCATAACTTAATTTTTAATGTAACTATAATGATCATAAGACATTATATTCAATAACGTAGCATGTTAAGCTTAACATAACTTGTTCGTGCTAATTATGTTAAAGTTATACAGTGTTTATAATTCAATATCTAGAATCCTGAACACAATTTCCTGGTTGATCTTTCATCAAACCCTACCCTAAAATACAATACTGTACCTGGCTATGCTCTACCATACCTCTATCTCAAACTACCCTACCCTACTCTACTCTACCCTACCCTACCCTACCCTACCCTAACATACCATATTGTATCTTAGTTTGCTCTACCATTCCTCTATCTTAAACTACCCTACTATACCTTGCTCTATCCTACTTTATCGTACTCCACGCTAGGATAACATATTTAAACTTCGTGGGACTTTATACTACTCTATGCTTTTCTGCACTGGCCCACCCCGCCTTACGCTACCTTCTCCTATACTTCTATATTCTAACCTATTACTGTTTACTTTACTCTACGTCGTCTTATCCTGTCCTACCCTATCATACGTGCCATACCTGAAGCAATATAAATTAAAAAAGCAACATAATACATTATTACTGTTTAATAAATATATAGAACTGAAATATTACTGTCAAAAACAAGTTTCTACGTGGCATAAAATGCGATAACAAACTAATAATAAGCCGCGTACAGCCTTTAATAGTAATGTTCTAAAAGGTAGTTCATTACAAATAGTAATTAAGTTTACTTGTTTTGTTGTTATAATTAAGTTTCAGCGTAGCAACCAGTACTATCATAGATTGTTCTTTATTAACCTTCGTATATACATCGATATCTGTAAAGAAAGTTTTTGACAGTTTTAACCAAAAATTTGTTGAAGTAACAAAAAATGCAAGAACTTTCTTTCCAGAACATAAAATGGCAAGGACTTTCTTTACAAACGAAACAATGGCAAGAACTTTCTTTACAAAAATAAAAAATGTCAAGAACTTTCTTTACAAAATAAGAAATTGCAAAAACTTTTTTTTACAAAAAAATGGCAAGAATTTACTTTATAAATCAAAAAATAGCAAGAACTTTCTTTACAAAAGATAAAATGGCAAGAACTTTCTTTACAAAACAAAAAAAATTAAAAATTAAGTTTTGAAAAAAAACTAAAAAGGCCCTGATTTTACAAAAAATTTAAAATTTTTTATTACTTTTTTTGTTACCTCTCCGACCGGTCGGTTCAGATGTATGATTGGTTAGCCGTGTATTATAGTGCAATTTGGTGGATAGTGCTTTCGTTTCTGACTTTATGTTGTTCTACCAACAAAAGAGAACCTCCGCGAGCCAAATCAACCAATCGAAAATTATCAACTAATAAGGTAAGTCGCAAGAACTTTGTTTACAAAATAAAAAATAAAAAAAACTTTTTTTACAAAACAAAAAATGGTAAGGACTTTCTTTACAATGCTAAAAATGGGAAGATTTTTCTTTACAAAACTTAAAAAGCAAGTTTTTAAAAAGTGAAAGTTGAGTGGAAGATTTCTAATGTATTTTGCACTAAAAATCTTCCACTCAACTTCCATTTTTAAAGTGTCTTAAAATTGCCTAAAAACACTTTTTTGACACTTTTTAAAAGTGGAATTTAAGTGGAAGATTTGTAATGTGTTTTGCACTGAAAATCTTCCATTTATCTTCCAGTTTTGAAAAATGCTCAAAATTTGTTGCGTAACTTAATAATGGCAAGAACTTTTTTTACAAAACATAAAATGGTAAGAACTTTCTTTACAATGCGGAGAATGGCAAAAACTTTGTTTACATGTTTCAGCCAATTCCGGACGAAGACAGATGGAGATCAAAACAGGTGCGCAGAACAGACAGTTCGAGTACAAATCGTGGCGATGAGATAGTGAAACCGACCAGAGTGATTCGGCGAGAACATTCGGCCGAGGAACTGAAGAGAACGTTCGAGAAGTTGAGCCAAAAGTACCGTAAGAAGAGAAGAGGGCCTATTGTAGACAAAACATTAACATCGACAATACTGGTCGAGGAGGATGAGGGTGATTTCGAGAATGGAGTAAGTTTTGAAATTTTAAATTTTATAAGATTGTTCAAATAATTCTGTGCTTTCATTTTAAGGCAAGTCTTCGGGGTTAAGGGCCTTCTTGAAGCAAATGCTTGGGGTGGGGGCTCAGAATTATTTGAACAAACTAATAGTTGAAGTTTTTTTGAACAAACTAATAGTTGAATAACAAACTAATATGTAGTTGAAAATTAAATGAAAACATTTCGTTTACAGGGCAAAAAATAGCAAGAACTTTCTTTACAAACTAAAAAACGGCAAAAACTTTCTTTACAAAGCGAAAAATGGCAAGAACTTTTTTTAAAAAACCTAAAAATCAATTTTAAAAAAATGAAAGTTGAGTGGAAGATTTGTAATACAATTTGCACTGAAAATCTTCCACTCAACTTTCATTTTTTAAAAATTTGGAAAATCTCAAAAATGTCTTTTTTATTTCCTGTATTATGTTGTTTTACATTTTAGGATGCTGTCAAGACCTGTGCAACACAAGAGCAGTCAGTGTATGTTATTTTTTCTTTATAATACATCACAACATATCGTACAGTACTTTAAACTTTTTATGAGCTTTTTTTAAAATAACTGGTACTGTATACTTTTGAAGACTCATTCAGTATAATGTTTGTAAAAAGGTCTAGAATAACGAATTCAATTTCAGAAAACAAGTTAGAAGCCAAAAAGAAGTGAAAGAAGAAGAGTCAAGAGACTATAAACAAGAAGAATCTCAGCAACAGCCTTCGGAAACAACTTGTCGCTAACATCATATAGTTACAATTACAGTACGAACAACTTAGGTCAACATGTAGTAAAGCATCAAACATTGGAATAAACTTATGAACCAATGACTTCTTTTATTTTTTTCATTTATTTTCATACTTTATAATACCTTGGAGCAAGCGCTAGTTTGAAAATTTACCAATACGTCCTGCAGTACGTTAAGATAACTTAAGTCAGCTTATAATTACTGCGCTTAATGTTACAAGCTATACATAACAATATTAACTTAGGTTTGCTAGGCTAATTAATACATTTTTTAAAATTTTTAGACTTACAACGGTTAGTCTACTAAGCCTACGCCTACTAAGCCAATGCCTACTAAGCCTACATTTACCAAGCCTAACCCTACTAAGCCTACGCCTACTAAGCCAATGCCTACTAAGCCTACATTTACCAAGCCTAACCCTACTAAGCCTACGCCTACTAAGCCAATGCCTAATAAGCCTACATTTACCAAGCTTAACCCTACTAAGCCTACGCCTACTAAGCCAATGCCTACTAAGCCTACATTTACCAAGCCTAACCCTACTAAGCCTACGCCTACTAAGCCAATGCCTACTAAGCCTACATTTACCAAGCTTAACCCTACTAAGCCAATGCTCACTGAGCCTTAACCTACTAACCCTAAGTCGCATATTAAGTCTAAACTTACTAAATCTAAGCCAACTAAGAGTAATTCTACCAAACGTTTAACAAGTTTTGGTATGCAGAAGCTTTTACTTCACTGCGTAGTAGTAGAAGAGGATTAAAGGTTTCTCGTTATATTATACTAAAGTTTTATTACATTTGAGCTTCAACAACTCCAGTTTTCGTTGCACTTTAAAACATTGTCTATCAAATACCATGTGATATCATATGCAATACAAAAATATAATTTCGAGACGATTACCATAATTAAAACAACATTTGACTTCATTGTAATGATCATCATTACATTACCAAATGATCGATATCACTACAAAAATGATTAATATGATTACAAAACACTGGTACAATCATAAACCCGACTGTGGTGTTGCACTTTGTCATATTGTCTATGAGTTTGGTTCGAAATCAGCTGGTTCGAAGGCTGATATAAAGGGTTCAACGGCTCGGAAAGAGACGTCTTGCAATCTTTGCTACTTCAATTCTGTTTTATTTTCAAAAAACAATGGTTTGTCATGATGGAGGTATGAGTTATGTTATAATACTTGGCTGGTTGGGTGGGAATTTTTTGTTTTTTAAGAGGGGGGGGGGTGTCAGGGAGAATGAGTAATAAGGTGTAGCATAAAAACTAAGAAAAAACTTTTTAAATGTCATTTTGATGTTTTATGCAATTTTAAAGCATTTTAAAAAATCTTCCACTCAGCTTCCGTTTTTTATATGTATGATTTTTATGTTTTGTAATGAAAGTGTGTGCCATTTATGATATTGCAAAAAAAAGTTCTTGCCATTTTTTGCATTGTAAAGAAAGTTTTTGTCATTTTTAGCTTCGTAAAGGAAGTTATTGCCATTTTTACCAAAGATCAAACTATAGTTTTGATTTTTTAAAGTCACAAGATCAACTTCGACAAATCGACGCAAGTTCGTCGAAGCTGTCACACTTTTTTGATTAATTAATTCGATTTGTTTTTCATGTAAAAACTTTGATTCTACTCCGCTCGCCCCGCTTAAATTTTATTTATTTCTATCGTTATGAGCTCTGTTTATGTTGAAATAATAATAAGCCTACGTCTGATAAGAAGCGTGAGACAACTAAGTCTAGGCCTACTAAGCTTAAGCCTAAGCCTAAGCCTAAGCCTAAGCCTAAGCCTAAGCCTAAGCCTAAGCCTAAGCCAAAACCTAAGCCTAAGCCTAAGCTTAAACCTAAGCCTAAGCCTAAACCTAAGTCTAAGCCAAAGCCTAAGTCTAAGCCTAAGCCAAAACCTAAGCCTAATCCTAATCCTAAGCCTAAGCTTAAGAATAAGCTTACGTCTATGGGTGTGACCGAGCTTAAACTGTAATTTTAATGCCTCTGTAAACAAAATTTCTGCATTTTTTCACATGTCTATTCAAAAAACATCCCAAGCATTTTTCCAAAGTTGTAACCAAACTGACCGTTAAGTGGTTGTACATATCGTTATCAGTCGGCGTCAAGACTTTGACGCCTTAAAGCTTTTGTTCAAATGTTTGCTCTTTCATTTTATGAATGTCGTTACGATAAGGTATTTGAAGAAAAAACATACGAAGTGAATCAGTTTTACTCATTTCGCGACAGATTTTGATTTTTTTAACGAAATTTTGATGTTTTTCAATAGTGGAAGATTGGTGGAAGATTTGTAATGTAATTTGCATTGAAAATCTTCCACAAAAATTTCATTTTTGAAAAGTTGTAAAAAAGCTTAAAAACGCGTTTTTACCACTTTTTTAGAAGTGGAAGATGAGTGAAAGATTTTCAGTGCAAAATACATTGAAAATCTTCCATCAAACTTCCACTTTCAAAAAGTGCCAAAATCGTGTTTTTAGCCCATTTTAAGACTTTTTAGAAGTGGAAGTTAAGTGGAAGATTTTTAGTGCAAATTACATTACAAATCTTTCACTCAACTTCCACTTTTGAAAATCTGCTATTTTTGTTTTGTAAATAAAGTTCTTGTCTCCAAACCCCTTTTTACAATACTTTGTTTATTTTTCTTTGACAAAAAAAAAGTTATTTTGGCGCCCAGTTGATTGAGAGTGTAAAGTACTGATAAGGTACGATTCAAGCCGCGTTTATCAACTATTTGTTTCCAACAATTTTACGATTTCGTATCTTTCATTTTGAGCCGGGAAGTAAGTCAAAACTATACCCTACCCTACCCTACCCTTCTCTACCCTACCCTACCCTATCCTACCTAGAATTTCCAAAACTTCGACTCTTACTCTACCCTGCTCTTCACTATCTTACTTTATACTTACATAAACTTACCGTGCTTTATTTTTTCAACTCTGCCGTGCTCTGTCTTACCGTACTTTACATTCTTCAAGTGTCTACAATTATAACTCGGAAGATATATATTAGATTAGATTCTCTTGATGTCGTAGATTGTAACGTACAGTGCTGATGTACAAAGATGTTCAAGCTTCAGATGAAGACCAACGGAGCTATCCTTGAGTCTGACATTTCCCATAATTAGGCCTCTCCCCAGGTATTTCACTGTTCGTCACTGAGTCGTGGGTGAGGTGCTCCATAAGACTTCTGGCGTTCAATCATATACTTGTGTAGGCCAAGTATAGATGTGCCTAGTCCCCGTGCACTCAGCACTACCCTTTCCTCAAGGCGCCTGGGTTGAGCGGGTGCGGAGTCGAACCAAGGTCCTTCCGAATAGCGAGCGGCGCCACAGCCACTGCGCTACCAACGCAAAATCTTTCTCTTCCAACGCTGCTATATCCTGTCTTACCGTACCTTACATACCTGAAAGTTCCAAAATTTTGTGAAATTTTTTAAAATTAAAAAAATTACCAAAAAAATTAACTTTGATCGTTCGGTCGATAATACAATACAATTTTTTGCTATCCAAATGCGTTTTATCATGTAATATCAACTTACTTTGCAGTAAAATGTCGTGCTGTCGATTCTTGGGCTGTTCGAAATGTTGTCGCAAGAACGAAGCGGTGGATGAAGTGGTGGATCTGGCAAGTAAGTGAATGTCGTTATTTCATGAAATTTTTTTAAAATTTTTTAAAAATTTTTGTTGAATTTTGACCTTTCAGAATCCTCTTTTGGTCGAGTTCTGATTTTCGTCAACCCAGCAAGCGGTGCTGGTATGGGTAGCAGAATTTACTTGCAAACAATACGACCTGAGCTACAAGCGAAGAAAATGTCATATGAGACCATAGTTACTGGTAAGATATATATACTGCCCTACCCTACCCTATTGTACCTTACCTTACACTGCCCTACCCTACCATGCCCTACCCTACTTTATCCTAAATAGATTATCCTGCCCTACCCTACCCTACCCTACCCTATCCTACCCTGTTTTACTCTACCTTACCATAGAATACAGTATTAAGCCCCGCTCTGAATTACCATACTCTTCTTGTGGCTACCGTACACTGTCCTAACGTAAAGTACCATACCCTACCTTAGAATTTTATATCTTAATCTAGACTACCGTATGCTATTCTACGCAAATGTACCCTACTCTAGACTACCGTACTCTGTCTTACTCTAAACTATCATATCCTATACTAGAGTACCATATTTTACTCTAGACTACTGTATGATATCTTAGGGTACCGCACTATACCCTACCCTATTATAACCCCACTTTTTTCTAAGTTTGTTTCACCATAACTTAACCTACGACCCTACCCTTAAAAATACAGTATATCATTTAAAAACTAGCTTTTCAGAGCACCAGAACCACGCAGCAAAAGTCTTGTCAGAACGGAACGATCTCCGTACCTTCGATGCCATAGTAATAGCCTCAGGCGATGGTCTAGTTTTCGAAGCCCTAAATGCCATTTTATCTCGACATGATGCTGAATCACTGCTAGAATCCTTACCCTTATATATCATACCATGTGGCAGTGGGAATGGCCTATTAGCTTCAGTCTGTCATCAACGAAAAATTCCGATCGTACCGGCAAAAGAACTTCTGAAGGCAGCGACGGAAGCACTGACATATAAGTATGCCATTTCGTTACCTGTCACTTTGATGCACTGTAGGACGAGTAATAAACAGTTTGGAGCGTCCTTGTCTGTTGGCTGGGGATTGATGGCCGACATTGGTGAGTTGAGAATTTTTACAAAGTTTAGGCTTGTAAAATTTGTTTTAGACTTGAGCGTATTGAACTGAGAGTTTTTAGGCTTTGAGTTTAAAAGTGTCAAGCTCAAATGCCTCAGGCTTAGAAGCCGTAGATTTAGAAGCTTTAAGATTAAAGGCCTTAGGCTTGGAAGAAATTAACTTGTTAGCTGCATTAGGTACGTAATGGTATACGTACAATTAGAGAGCTTAAGCTGAATTGTACGTAATGGTATACGTACAATTAGAGAGCTTAAGCTTAGAGGCTTTAGTCTTAAAGGCCGTAAGCTTAGAGGCCTGCGGTTTAGAGGGGTTTGGCTTAGAAGCCTTAGGCTTAGAGGCTTTACGATTAGAAGCTCAGACTGAAGGTTTAATTTTGGAATTCTCAAGCATATAGGGATTAGGCTTGAAGGCCTTAGGATGTCGGGAAATTATATTTAGGCGTTTTAGGATTAAAGGTATGGCTAAAAGGTTATGGCTTTTTGTTTTAGATCAAACTTATGTTTAGTAGGCTTAGACATTGTAAGATAAACGTCTGTTTGATTTAGCCTAGCGAACAAAAGATTAAGGTTCAATTTAGTAAGATTTTTACATTTTTTTTAAATCATAGGACCCCTCGCAGAAAAACGAACTTAAAACCTCAGCACTCGCAGTAATTTGTTGGGTCGTTTTACATCGAGGCAAATATGACATAAAACCATAAAACTACGTAAGAAAACGTTGCGCAATACAGATTCTGACAATTTCTCTAAGGCTATGAAATTATGTCAGTAATATTAGGTAATGTCGCAAAAATATTTTTTTTTGCTTTCTATTGCAGGGTTGCGGTTCATAAGTATATGTATATCTTGAACATGCTGTGTTCTGAACCCACAATAATATAACCTGTAGGTTTGAGTATTGAAGTACGTTTAGGCTAAGTACACTTAGATTTAGTAAGCTTTGGCTTAGTAAGCTTAGGCTTAGAGACTTTAAGCTTTGAAGTCTTGTGCTTAGACGTCTTAGGCTTAGAAGTCTTAGGTTTAAACGCTTTAAACTTAAAGGCTGAAAAGCTATGCCGCGCCAAAAAATTAAGCGCGGCCCGGCTTCTTTACAAGGCCTTGTGAATTAGAGGCTTTAAGCTACGGGCAAAATTAAAAATTTGTACCACTATTTTCAGATATCGAAAGTGAAGTCCTCCGACCACTTTGTGGCAGTTCACGATTCACTGTCGGAGCACTATGGCGCATACTATGTCTTCGCAACTACCGAGCACGACTATCATTCTTGCCATTGGGCGATGAACAATCTCCAACTACCTCAAAAACTCCAAATTCTGTTTACGAACAGAAGGACAAGCAACTGAGTAGCATCAGAGAGGAAGAAGATCTAGAGTACAGTATATGGAAAGACAAACTTGTGGTAGAAGAACCAGAAATGGACGCGCCAGTACCTCATGGTTGGAGGGTTATTGAGGACGAGTTTATCAACGTCTATGCTGTGAGTTTCTGCTTTGTCCTTGCCTTGCCTTTGCCCTGCTTTTGCCCTTTTTGTGGCACGCCTTTGCCCTGTTTTTGACCTGCCTTTACCCTGCCTTTGCCCGTGCCCTTGACCCTGCCCTTGCCTTTGCCCTGTTTTTGTCCTGCCCTTTATTTGTCCTATTCTTGTCTTGCACTGCAATTCAAATATTATATACTTTCAGGTTACCCGCTCTCACATCTCAACCAACTGCTTCTTCGGTCCAGACGCCCAACTCGACCAAGCCACGATACATTTGTGCTACATTTTGAAGCGTGACGTCACCTCCAAAGCCCAAATTGCCAAATTCTTGGCCGCAATGGAGAAAGGAGAACACTTGACTCTCCCCTTTGCTCATTACACTAAAGTCAAAGCCCTGAGGCTAGAGACACTGGCTCACCAGAATCATCGCAGTCCGATTGTTGTGGATGGTGAAGTAATCCCGGATTGCACTCAAATCCAATGCGTTTCATCGACCTTGGCCATGAGGGTGGCTACAAAATAAACTGTCATCTTTCATTTTGAAATTTTTTTTTAAAAATATTTAACTTGAAAATCTAACTATTTGTATATAATATATATTAATATAAAGAACATTCAAAAAAGATTTGACAAAGAAAGTACCTACCCTGCCCCGCTCAGAATCAGCTCAAAATTTTTATATGAATTCCTTGTACCACCAATGGTACCCATAAAAAGTTTTAGTTCGCGCTTTTGAGTTTAAAATTTGAAATATTAGAGTTTCCCGCCAATTTTGCAAATTTGGCATTGTGTTTCAAGCACTTTTTTCAAACTAAAAAAATTAAGTTTATTTAAAGGTGTTCTACTAGTATATCAAAGAAAAATGATTAAAAGTCAAAAAATGACAGTTATAAGATTGAAACATAATGCCAATTTGGCGGGAAATTCAAAAATGTAATTTTTTTAATCTTATTTTTCTCGAGATTGACTAAAAAACGCCTTTTCTACTTTGCTGAGGATTTTATATTTACATGATCGTTCTATGCCTGCTCTGCCCTGCCCTGCTTTGCTCTGCCTTGTTTTGCCTTGCCTTGCCTTTCTTTGCCTAGCCTTGCCTTGCCTTGCCTTGCTTTGCTCTGTCCTGCTCAACCCAGCTCTTCCTTGCCCTGCCCTTTCCTGCCCGACCCGGCCCGACTTTTCCTTCCCTTGTTCTTCTCTGTCCTGTCTTTCCTTGTCCTACCATCTCTTTCAAAACGCTTCTACAAAAAAAAATTTAAAATCTTCAACCGATTAGTTATATAGGGTGTTTCAAGAAATTTGTAAGTTTTGAAAAATTTATTACTAGTAGATTTGTACTAGCAGAATTGTACTAGTAGAATACCTTTGAATGAATCTAAATTTTTAAGTTTGTATGTGTAGTTTGGCTGGAAAGTCGAAAAAAGTGCTTGAAACACAATGCCAAATTTGCCAGATTGGCGGGAAATTCCAATATTTTAATATTAAAACTCAAAAGCGCAAGCCAAAATTTTTTATAGGTACTATTGGTAATACAAGGAATTCAAATAAAAATTTTGAGCTGATTCTGAACTATGCAGGTGGGGTACTTTCTCTATAAATTGCTGGAATTCATTGCCTAGTCCGGCTGGAAAAGACAAGAAATTTTTGAATGACCGATACGAGCAAGTAGAATCCATACTCCTTCCCCTTCGTTCCCTCACCTCGTTATCTTTTACAAAAAACTGATATGTACGCATTTCGCGCCCTTTCTGCGGCTTGCAAGGGCCTTTTTATACGCAACAAATAGATCTTTTTTCTTTTTTCGCGAAATTATATATGTTTCCTTGGAAATACTCTTCGTTTGTGGCGTTAATTAGAACATATCTATGTTTATGCTGTTTTTGAGAGCATATTATTTTATTTATATTGTTTTAGTCAGTTTTAATTGTTTTTAGGTTAAGAAAGTGGTTTTTTGCAGGCTTTTTGGGGGAAAAATTAATTGTTCGAAATATAAAAAGCTTTATATGCTGGAGTTTTTGATTAATTAAGGCTTTAGAATACATATATTGAGAATTAGAAGCTGTTTTCTAATTTTATCTAACATTATTGACCAGAGTTTCCTCCCAATATTGTTTTAGGTAATAAATCAATTTTTATTTAATCAATTCCCATTTTAGATTCCAAGATGGACGCACCTCACGACCCATATGCCAATCTAACCCCAGCTCAACGTGCCCTCTGGCTTCATGATCCGTACGCGTCCGTAGCTGCAGCTCAACAAGCAGCAGCACTACCTCCACCGAAAGCACCACCTAAGCCATTATTGAATCGACCTTCAAAGCCGCCTTCACTTCTTGAGATTAACACTTATCCAGCCGATCCTTATGGAGATGGTTACGGAGCTGATGCCTACGGTTCAGAAGCTTATGGTGCTGACGCCTATGGTGCTGAAGCTTATGGTGCAGATCCGTATGGAGCTGATGCTTATGGTTATGCACCTGTAATGATAACGAATTATCAACAAAACGGATATTATCAACAACAATCCGGACCTCAAAAGCTGTCTCAATTGGGATTCTTTGGAGGTAATTCGTCTATTCATTCCAAGAATCCTTATCAATGGCCAACTCGCAAACGGTCCCACGGAGCTCGTGGAGCACCACAACCACCGGCCAATGGTAACCAGGCACCATTGGGTGGCTTGAATCACTTTGACATACCTAAAGGATCTGTAAGTACTTAATTGCTTTGATTTTTTAAAGTTTAGGTATAAGCATCATGGATAATATAATGAAAGTCTAAAAATTAAGTTCCATCTCAATTTTTGGCACTTATGGCTATGTTATTTTAGACCTCGAAGATCCCGAGCTTATTCCCATCTCAAGCTTCAACTTCTGAGAAGAAGCCTAAAGGTGAAGCACAACAAGAACCATTGTTACCTTTGGAAGGAGATATTCCTGAATTTTTGGACAAAAGCAAAATCCTGACCGAAACCAGGAAGCGAAAGATCAAATACAGGATTCTGTTGTGGTGTCGCATCGTGAAGTTCGATATTGAATCGAATTTAAAGTGTAAGGGTTTGAAATTTAAATTTTTATAGTTTGGAAAGAAAGTTCTTGCCATTTTTTGGTTTGTGAAGAAAGTTCTTGCTATTTTTTGGCTTGTAAAGAAAGTTCTTGATATTTCTTACCTTATAATGAATTTTAAAATACTAAAAACCTTTTTTTAGGCGGTAGCTGGCTGATGGTCGGTCACACTGAATCAACATGTACAGTACGTATAAAGAACTTCTTCCCGGAGATATTCGCCGTCTCAGCAACATCAGTCAATCTCGAAGAACTTTCGTATGAGCTTATAGTGCAATGGCTACTTTTCTGGTACTATAAGAGTGTGCTGAGCGACAAAATGATCTTCAACTTGTACACAAAAGACTCCAAGTACAGTACAGAGATGTTCAAGGCCGCAAAACGATGCTATTTGACTGTGGTTGAGGAGGTCAACAAAGGGAAGTTTTTTCTTGAACTTATTTTATTTTTAGATTGGAAAAAAGACGATCAAGAGTAGAGGTGAAGTCAGTTTCAGTGCAAAATGCTCTGTTTTTTGCTTTATTTTGTAATATTATCTTTAAAGCCATTTTTTAATGATTAAAGCTGATTTATATTTATATCTAGCTCAGCCATAGATAAAAGGAGTAATAGGCGTATTTTAATGATTTTATCTTCCAGATAACTTCCCCGACGACCTAAGATACGGCAAAAGGCTCTTCACAGAGGAGGAAAAACAAAAAATGAAAGAAGCCTGCGAACGAGCTGCTGCTAGAATATCCAACAACGATCTGGCCGAAGACACTCCAGAAGAACCAGCAGAAGATACAGAAGAAACCACTTCTTAATAATTTTATGTTGTTCATGTTGTTTTAATATAAAATAATATGTTTTTATTGTTTTTCAGCGATTGTACTAACGTAATTTAATAAATAAAGTATTTTTTGACGAAAAGTTATGAAACAGATAATAAATTAAACTCTTTTATTGTTTACTTCTATGTTAGGCGTATTTTATAATTTACCAACGAAAAAACCAAACTTGACGCATTTTTACCCTTCAAAAAGCAAAACTTGACACAAGCGCGCTTTTTTCTGCAAAAAAAATTTTTTTTCTTGATCTCATTCTGCCATATTTGACCTGTAGTTATCACTAATATTCATATCATATTAATTTTTACTGTTAACTAATGGAGATTGATCAAATTACTCGTCAATTTCACGTAAGTTGACTTTTATTTTATCATTGGCTTTTGAATTTAGGTTGAACGAGAACAATGGAACGTTGAGCGTGATAAGCTTCAAATAGCGAATGAAACTTACTTGAAGGACATTCGAAAGTTGAACGAGTATGTTTATGATCTAGAACTGAAGGTTTTAAGGGCGGAACAACAGGTGAAGTCGAAGGAAGGGTTTTTTGATGTTGAGAAGGAGGCTTTGAATCGACAAATTGAAGATTTGAAAGGGTTGGTGCAAAGGAAGGATACTGAAGTTGCGGATATTCGAAGAGAAGCTTCTGAGGTATGTTTTCAGATTGATTTTAAGAGTTTAGATTTAATTTGAGTTTTTTTATGGTGGAAAGTAAATTGTGATAGCTACCTGGGGTACAACGTCAAGTTTTTTGAAAAAACTTTTGTTCTGCATTAAATATTTTTAAACGTAAAGTAATTTAAGCTTGCTTAGAGCTTTTTTCTTGTCTTTCAATTATTTTCTCGTTTTGCAAAATTGTTTTAGCTGTCTCATGTATAAAATCAAAGCATCTTCAAAGTTCTTTATCTTCTTAAAATAATTATTGTTTCAGAAAGTATCACAAGCCCAAAAAGAGCGAGCAGCGATTGAAATTGAGATTAATTTGAAAGATACTCAAGTGAAAGACATTGAACGAGTTCTCCAGCTAACTCAAGATGAGCTGGACTTGTCTCGAAAGGAATACGATGAGATGAGCAACAGAATTGATGGGTTTTTGGAGAAGATTGCTGCATTTGAAGCTAGCATTCAGACTCAAGCAGTTGATTTTGAGCAAGAGCTGAGGAAACGAGGTAATTTTTGAGGCATATTGTTTTAGGTCATGTTATACTTGATTTTTTGTTGATTTTTAAAATTTAAGTGGTTTCCTTAAATTTTTTGATGGGCAGAAGATAGCTATGAGTGTAATGTTGAAACAAAAGTTTAGTTCTGTTGAATTAAAGAATAATGTTGTTTTAGATGAGCAAGTGGCTGAAAAGCAAAGAACGATTGAAAACTTGATCCATCAGATTAATGAAAGCTCTATATCTATGGCAACAGACACTACAGGTGCTCCAGGTCAATTCCATGTTGGTAATTTGAATTTGCTTGAGGAGAATGCCGACCTGAGGAAGAAATTAGCTCAACTTAAGGCTGAAAACGATCATAATGTGAAACAACGGCATGAATTGCTAAAAGTAAGGATTTTGATTGTTATAGTAGGATGTATTATGATTATTTATAGTCATTTTACCTTACGTCATTTTTTAAAATTTAGGAATTTCGTCAACGCCAGCTTCGAGACCGTAGTCCTCAATCAGATGTGGAGAATCTAGCTCAAGAGCGTTGTAAAAAGCTGGAAGAAGAGTTGAACGACTATTCTTATCGTTGTGATGACCTTAACAGAGAACTAGAAGCTTACAAGAGAAGAAATAAAGAGTTAGAGAAGTCGAATTCAGAACTTATTACTCAATTTACCTCATCCATACTGCCATTTGATGAATTGATCGATGATAACGAATATCCAAAGAAGTTTAATCACTTTAAGGAGGTTGTGGAGGATAACTTGAGGCTACGACAGACTGTGGAGGATCTTAGCCTTCAGCTTGGTAGGGTTTTGGGGGGTTTTAATGGAGGAAAAGGGGGTTTTTATATTATTTTAGGCGAGGTTTGGCCGAAAATTGGCTAAAGAAAGGCTTTATTTTGTGATTTTTTAAATAAAATTTGGAATTTTGATATAGCTTTACATTCTAAGGCTATTTTTCTAGGTAACAACCCAATGTCCGACCCACTAGAACTTCAAGATCAGTTCGAGCAAGCTCTGGAAGAGCTAGATCTATTCAAAAAGCAAGCAGAATCTTCAAAGCATGAGCTCGAGAACGCTCAAAAGATGGTCGAGTACTACAAGACTAAAGTTGAAGTAGGAAACGATTTTATGGGTAATGGTACTTCTGTCTCCAAGGCTGACGCTGAGCTTCAGATTCACAAATTGAACTGCGAAATCAACACGTTAAAGGATAGGGTCAAGGAGATTTTGGACGAAAAAATCAGGAATGAGGAGTGGGTTTTGGTTTTTGTGATTTAAAATGGCGTTTTTAACTAATTTCTAAAAATTTTTAAATTTGAAGAAAAATTTGAATTTTGAAAAATTTTTTTTTTAATTTGAAAATTTTTTTTTGAAATCTTCTAAAAAATCATTTTTAGAAATCAATCGAACGTGATCTCCCAGAAAAACGAGCTGATTGCCCAGCTGTACTCGACCAAAGACAGTCTTGAACTCAAGGTGAAGAGCTGTGATGAAGCAACGGAGAATATGCAATCTGAACTGGAGAAGCTGGACAAGACCAACAGAAAGATTAAGGATGAAAACACAAAGCTTCAGGCTTCGACTGAAGCCTACAAGAAGGAAATCAGCCTTCTGAATTCCCAGCTACAGGAGAATAAGATTGAGTGGGAGAGATTGAGGTAAAAAGGAGGGTTAAAATTAAGTTTTGGGGGTATTTTTTAGTCATTTGATAGCTAAACGATTGAAACATTGACCTAATTCGTTTCCAATTCTCTTCCAGAACCGAGAAGAAGACGGTCGATTTAGAGCTGTCCCAATTCCAACGTGAAGTCTCGGACCTTCGAGCTCGCTGCCAATCTCTATCCGACAATCAAACCGTCACCAATATTGTACTGAACGCGCTAACCGAGTTCCGCTCAGCCTACTCTCAAATCAACGCTGAACAACTCCACTTAACACAGGCCGAGCTGGAGAACTGTCGACAAGACCGGGACTCCCTGAATCGACTGGTCTCAAACCTTCAAAACCAACAAATGAGCGGGGTGGATGCGTTGAAAACGGCCTTAAGGGATGCCAAAATGAGCAGTGAAAGATACAGGTCGCGATGTGCTCAAGCTGAACAGGATTTGGAGGTAAGGAGAGGGTGGAAATGGCTGTGGAATGGGGGAAATGGTGGTTTTTGGGGGAAAAATGAGTAGAAGTGAAAAAAGTAATGAGCATTGGTCGAAAATTTGTACAGAGAATAGATAAGGATATCAATATCTTTTGGTTTTTGCCAATTCTACGAACTTTTTGGCCGAAAAACCATCATTTTCGACCAAAAAATCTGAATTTAAAGTAAAATTTTAATTTTTTGCGAAATTTTTAAAATTTTCGAATTCCAGTCCCTAAGAAGCCTTCACACCGACCTAGAGGCCAAGTACGAACAGCTCAACAAACAGCTGACCGACATCGACTCGGCCGACGCTGATCCAGACTCGTGCAAAAAGGAGAATCAACACCTGAAGAACAAGATCATCTACTACGAGAAGCAGGCCATTGAGAACAATGCGGTCATTTCGGACCTAAAAGCCCAATTGGAAGTGGCGGACAGTCGTTTCAATGACGCCCTGAACACGGCCGAACTCTACGAAAAATCACTGAAAGAAAAGGACTTGAAGCTGAAGGAAGTCAGGGCCCAGATGGAAGAGGGTCAACAGAAATACTCGGAGGAGATCAGTGGAATGTAAGTTTTTTAAAATTTTTTATGTATACACCAAGGAAGTACTACGGCTTCCAGAATGTCCTTTTGGTACACTTCTTTATTGATTTTTACTCCATTATCAACAAAAATCAAAGAAATCTTGCCTGAAGCACAGATACCGGCCCAAACCATAATGCCCCGAGGGTGTTGACGACCTGCCACGATGGATTAAGCTTTAGGAGGCTCTGTTGAGTAATATTTGTCATTTTGGGGAGTGTAGGCCTCTGTAAAATGTAAATATCCTCTCATCTGTGAAAAGGTTTCGTTCACATTTTTGACCAGCGGCCCGCTGCTGAAGCAGTTTACATCCTTGTTTTCTTTAGTTAGCTTCTGAACTTTTTTGAGTTTGTACGGCTTCATCTTAGTTTTCTTTTTCACTATGCGCCTCAAAGTAGGGTCTTTGATTCCCGCCTCTCGGGCCATTTTTCGTACTGGGGTCCGTGGATTTCGCTTGAAGCGCTTCATGATCATCTGACGATTGGCCACGGTGTTAACAGATGCTGGACGACCACTTCTAGGTCTGTCACAGTCATGTCTAAGCTCTTCGAAACGTTTTACGGCACTGTGGACTGTCATTCTTGAAATATTCAACAATTTCGCGATTTTGGGGTTACTTTTTCCTTCATTATTTAATTTGATGACGGCAGCCTCATGTTTGACATCTAAAAACAGACAGACAGTAGACAATGAAAACTTAACTTTTATGATTATACAATTAAAAAAACACGGAGAATAAGCTAAAATAAAAAGTTTTAAATAATTAAACCGCAAAATTGAGAAAACGACCGGTAAAGTTTTGTAACAGATCATTGCGCGCACCCTGTATTGTAATACATACATGGGGAGGACCCTTCTTACTGATGACCGGGGGTGATTTTGTTTTTTATTGGGAGGGGTGATACTTTAGGGGGTTGGTTGTTATTTTAGGTGGAGGGATGGCATTTTAACGGGAGAGGAGGTGGAGATAGGTTAAAAAAAATATTATTGTAGGGAAGAGGGGGGGGGGAGGCGGGGGTAGATTAAAAAAAATTTTGAAAAAATGGTTAGGGGGTACTATGTGATTTTAAAATTTTTTTTTCTGGTTTTTTATTGCATTATCTTATCCTTCCTTATCCTAGCTTAATTTACCTTAATCTACCCTACTCTACTGTGCATTACTCTACCCTATTCTACCCTGCTTTACCTTACTTTATTTTATTTTTGCTTTACCTTTTCTTACCCAACTTTATTTTTCCCTGCTCCTACATTCACCTACTCAGCTTATTATACTCTACCCATCTTACTATATATTATCCCATTCTATTGTATTCTGCTCCATTCTATTCCACTCTACTCTATCCTCCATTGTCCTACATTTTTTGTCATCCCATCGCATATTAAACAGTCTTATCCAGGGACGTCGCTACGATTTTTCTCTGGGGGGGGGGTCACCCCGAACCACCTCCCTCCCTCAAAGACGTCGCTGGTCCCGAACCACCTCCCTCCCCCAAAGTCGTCCAGTCTTGTGCTATTCTTACTTTGGCATTAATATTGTTTTGAAATTTGAATATGTCTTAAAGTACTATTTTTTTCAGTGAACGCGAAAATCAACGCCTGCGCGGAGAGAAAGAGGAAAAGGACCGCCGTTTCAACGAAGAACTTCAAATCTACGAAGCCAAGATAGAAGAACATAAGCAGAAGATTAACGATCTGTTCGAAGAGAAGAATCGACTGGAAAATGAATTGGCTACGGCGAATCAAAAGTTGGAAGAGTATGGATCACAGTTCAGCGAGACTTCTGGCGTTTTGCAGAGTGTAAGAACAGTTTTAGAGGTGGCGAGAGATTTTTTTCAAAATTTTTTTTTGGGCGTGGTAAAAAAGGTTTAAGGGGGGGTGAGGGGAGTAAAAAGGGGGTTACCTTTAAAAATTGTTTTTTGTTGCATTCAAGAGGTTTCAATTTTTTTGCTTTCGGGCAGGGTAAAACTTTTTTTTGGGGGAGAGAGGAGGGGTGGAACTTTTTTTTGAGTAAAATATTGTTTCCTGGTTTATAAAAGTTTTTTTACGCTTTTTGTCAAAAAAAATTAGTGTGTGGTAAAAACAATTTTGGGAGTGGATAAAAATTTTTTTTAATTTTTAACTGTGTTATGTTAAGACTTTCTCATTTTATAAACACTCGAATTTTTAGAAGGATTCCGAGATCGACCTTCTGAAAAACTCGCTTGAGGCCGTGAACAAAGAGCTCACGAACACAAGGTCCGAGCTCCAAACCCTCTACACCCAAAACCAAGAACTCACCCAAAGCCAGGAAGAGCAACGCCACGCCTTTGCTGAAAAATCCCAAGAACAAGAAGTCATCATAGTGTCATTGAAGAATGACATTGCCGAATACGAGCAGAAACGCCTGGAAACCCATCCATTGGATCAAAGCGTCTACGAGCAGGCGGCCAAACATCTGGATGAGGTCTATGATAAGCTGAACTCATCGGCCGAAGCTAAACCTGACACTTCCTTTAAAAGCCGCTTGTCAATTGGTGCAAGCGAAAAGACGATCAGCCTACAGAAACATGTTGAAATGGTCAACAAGCTAAACCTGAAATTGGAGGTAGGTAGTTTATTTTTATTCTTCTTATTTTTTATGTGGGAGAGGTAAAAATAAAAAAAAATCTTTTTCAGGGGGGGTAAAAATTTATAGAGAGAGGGGTTTTAAGGGAAGGTGGTGATTATAGATCTGCTGTTGTTTCGAGCGGCGGGGCTATCGTTTTTTGTAGGGCGGGGTAAAAAAATTTTTTTTATGGAGAGGGGCGGGGGGAGATGTAAAAAATTTTGGGGAGGTTTTTTTGAGTGAAGCTGATGATTTTAGATTTGTGGATGTTTAGAATAAAAAAGGGTTTGGGTTTTTTCTTGGGCGGGGTAAAAATTTTTTGGGAGGGGGTGTAAAAATTTTAGGGCTGAGTTTTTTTTTATGGATGAGGAAAACGGCAAATTAAAACAGAGTGAAAAATTTCGGGCGGGGTAGCCCCCTTCTTTTTTTGCCTCAAATTTTTTACTTCTAAAAATTTTTTTGCACCCACGCCTTTAACAAAAAGTACAATAAAATCACAAATTTAAATTTTCAGAACCAGGAACGCGAGCTAGCCCATCGTCTCGAACAAATGAGCCAGCTGGAAACGTTGAAAGAAACCCAACAACAATACGAAAGCCTCCAGCTGGAGTACTCGGTGGTCGAAAAGCGTCTGAACAGCCTCCAAGAAGACAACAAACAGCTGAATGCTCAGCTGAAACAACTAAAACACGAACATTCGCCGTGCTCACAGAAGATCACCAGCGCTGAGGCAGCGGTTTCGGCTTTGAATGGCCAGATTAATTTGTTGAAGGTGGGGTTTTTATAGGTTTTGGGGAGGAGGCGGGTAGGGGAAAGTAGAGAAATGAAAATTTTACTGGGTGGGGGAAACTAATTGAGAATTTTTAGGGGGTGTGGATAAATAATGAAAATTTGTCTGGGATAAATAATTGAAAATTATTAAAAGGCGTGGGTAGAAAAGTTCATATTTTTTAGGGTAGGGGTAGAAAAATATTTTTTTAAAGGCGGCGGGGGTTGAAAAAATAAAAAATGCGGGGTCACGTGGAATACATTTTTAAAAGGAAGGGGTCTTTTTGGGTTGGGTAAAAAAATGGAAAATTTTTTAGGGGGGGGGATGGGAGAAAGTTGAATTTTTTGAAGGGTAGGGGTACAAAAAATAACATTTTTAGGGATTAAGCGTGGGAAAATGAAGTTTTTGAGGGCAGGGGTGGGAAAAATTAAAAAAAATTTTAAGGGCTGGTTAAAAATTTTTTTTTTCTAAGCAGGGATGAAAAAAAATTTCTTGAAGAATGGGGTAGATACTTTTGTTAACAGCAGGACTCAACATTGATCTAAAAATTTTATTTTTTTAATTTTCAGACCGAACTCCAAAAAGCCAACGATGACATCTCTACTAACATGGTACCCAAAGACAAAATGTCGGAAGTTCAAAAGAGACTAGAATCCGTTAACAAAGCTTATAATGAAGTGCAAAGCCGCAGTAACCATCTCAAAGCACTGGCTAAACGGTACCGTGATCAGAGTTTGGATTTGCAAAAAGAACTGGAAGAAGTGGCACCTGATCGGGCCCAGGCCATGGCTGAGAAGCACCGCCCTCAAACGGTAGGTTTTTTAAAGAAGGTGGAAAGAAAGGTCTTGAAATTTGTGGTTTTGGAAAGAATTTTTTTGCTTTTTTCATTTTGTAAAGAAAGTTTTTGCTATTTTTGGTTTGTAAAGAAAGTTTCTGCAATTTTTTGATTTGTAAAGAAAGTTCTTGCCATTTTTTACCGTTTTCCATTTTCAGACAACCATTCAAGGTGCCAGCTCTCCAGCTGCAATCCCAACCCCAGAACGGCCACAAAAACGACGAGTCGAAGCGGCCGAATCCACCCCCACCACTTCGGAACCCCAACAGAAGCAATCAAAGGAAGAATGATTTATTTGATGTTTAGGTAACGAAAATGGTTTTATTGTTACCTAAAATATTTCTTTAGGTAATAAAACAGTATTTTAGGTAATAAAATGGTATTTTAGGTAACAAAATAATATTTTTGTTACCTAAATTATAAGTTTAGACAACAAAATGCCATTTTTTGTTACCTATGTTGTTACTTTTCACTCTTGGGTATGGTAGAAACGGAATTTTTAAGTTATTACTGTTAAGTTTTTTCTTTAAATTTGCTTTGTATTCGATTTGGATCTCTTAGAAACTTTTTTGATAAGGTGATTAAATAAATGTTGGACTTGTGTCGTACTTAAGGGTAGCTTTTGAAAAATTTTGAAAAAGGTATTTTTGATTCATAAAATGAAGCAAAGTTCGAAAAATGTTACCTAAAAATCAGGAAACAGGCTTAAAGTTTTGTTTGTTACCTAAAATAATATGAAAAATAAAAAATCAGCCAAGATTTAAGAAAAGTGTTACCTAAAATCAAAAATGTTAAAAATTGGGGAAAAAGGTCAAATTTTGAAGTTTTGTTACCTAAAATAATAAAAAATTTGAAAAATAATCGAGGTTTTTAGAAAATGTTACCTAAAATCAAACAAAAATGTTAACTAAAAGCAACAGTAACAAAAAGAACAACGAAAATATTGTTTTCATTTCTAAAATTACCTAAAATACTGAAAGGTCACAAAAAATGATTAAAAGTGTTACCTAAAGTAACAAAATTGTTTTGAAATAACAAAATTGAAAAAAAATGTTAAATAAAATAATTGAAAATTTTTAAAAAATGGAAATTTCAAACAAAATTTTACCTAAAATAATCAAAATCAAGAAAAAATTGAAATTTTTATGAAATTGTTACCTAAAAAACCAAAAATAGTTAAAAATCAATTCATAAACCTTAAAAAATCATAACAACATAAAATACAAATCAAAAAAGATTTATTCACAAAAAGCTATTATTCATTCCAACATAGAAACGGCCATCAGAGCAGCGCCAGAGATGAAGGTAATCACGGCCAGTGGTAGAGATACGGCCAAACATATGGTGCCCAGTTTGGTACGGACCTTTTTTCCGCCCCCACCACCCAACTTCTTCTTTTCTGTCTTTCTGGTTTCCGTACCTAAAATAGCAAGAACTTTCTTTACAAAACGAAAAATGGCAAAAACTTTCTTTACAGAACAAGAAATGGCAAAAACTTTCTTTACAGAACGAGAAATGGCAAGAACTTTCTTTACAAGACCCAAAATGGCAAGAACTTTTTTTACAAAACAAAAAGCGGCAAGAACTTTCTTTACAGAATAAGTAATAGCGAAAACTTTGTTTACAATACAAAAAATGGCGAGAACTTTCTTTACAAACTTACTCAATTTATTCTTGACCATCTCGCCAACCGACCGGTGGAATAACAATTCATAAAATCAGTGAAAAAAGGTAAAAATTCATTTTTATAATTTAAAAAATTTTCAAAAATCCAAAATTTCATTATTTATTAGTACTAACAATAAGTGCTATTTATTATATTATCATAGTATGAAATGATTACAAATAAATGACAATTTAGTTAACAACAAATGGTGAATATACAGTTTTTACATGGTTAATAGGTTAATGGATATAAAAATGACAAAAAAAGTAATGTAAAAAAGACTATACAAATGAAAAAATAGGACTTAAAAATGAGTTTTTATTTGTCCTGTTGATGCAAAAAGAATGGCGTTCTTATTATGAAAAATCATTTTTCTGATGAAGTGCGCCATTCTTTTTGCATCAAAAAAGCTAAAAGGCTCCTATCCAGGGTTGGGCGATAGAAACCCCTAAAAAACAAAATTTCTTACCCTAAGAAAAAAAAATTTTCCCCCCCCCCAAAAATTTACCCCGCCCCAAAAAAATTTGTTTATCCTACCCTAAAACTTCTTTAATCTACTCGCCTCTCTATTTTATAGAAGAAAAAACGACCAACTCTCCCTTTTTTACACTGGCCGAAAAAAAATTTTTACCCCGCCCAAAAAAAAATTTTACCCCCCCCATAAAAATGTTGTACTGCACCATAAAGCCTTGTTCTTTCTACTCCCCTCCCCATTTTAAAAAAGAATAATCCCCTTCTCTCCCCCCCCTCCCTCAAAATTTTTACCTCGCCCCCAACCATTCCCAAACACCCCTACTTAATAGGCTTGTAATGAATTAACAAATCGGCGGATTGTTTCCATATAAAGTGTTTCACCGTCCTCAAATCCATATCCGGCTCCAGTTTCTGGTCGTTGCAGTACAACTCCACCTTGTCCTCAATGTTCTTGGGAATCGGCGGAGAGAAGTAGTTTCCTCCGCTCTTGTCGGCGGTCGATGAAGAGGAATGAGCACTGTCATTCGGCTCTAAACTTTGGTCCTGAGGCGATAATATCTTTTCGTAGACGTGCTCCATGACTTTGCGGATTTGTAGCATCTCTGTAGCGCTGAGGCGGTCGCTGAAATTGTGGTGAAATGGGTTTTTAGGTAACAAAAATGCATTTTTTGGTGTTTTAGATAACAAAAATGACATTTTATTGAGATTTAAGGTAACAAAAGAGCATTTTTTAGTATTTTAGGTAAAAAAAATGACATTTTTTGAAATTTTAGGTAACAGACTATAGTAAGCAAAAGAAAAACAAGACAAAAGTAACCAAACAGAGATATGTGTTTATTATTGACAGATGGAAATTGATAAATTAGACAAGATGATTAGAGCATGGTCAGACTCGACTAGACGATGGTTGTTGATCATCAAACATGAAGTTGGTTTCGTCTCTAAGATTAGATTAGACATAAAGCTTTTAAATCAGCCTTACCCTGTCCTACCTTACCCTACTCTACCCTGCCCTACTCGACTCTAACCTACCCGACCCTACCCTACTTCACCCTACCCTGCCCTACTCGACGACTCTATCCTACGCTACCCTACTGTACCTTACTATATTCTACCTTGCTCTGTCCAGTCTTGTATTACCCAACCTTACTGTGCTGTACCCTACTACTACACATCTACCTTTCAATGTACGTTTCTATTATAGTTACCGTATCCTCAAGCCCGTTTTACCCTCAATCTACCGTAGCTTAAACATCACCAGAGTGTGTTATGGATACCCTAGTCATACTGTAGCTTTTACTCTGACGTATTATAGCCTACAGAATCCACCTTTACCTTAATTTATACTAGCCTAGCTTACCCTACTCTAAAGTACCTGAGACTACCATATCCACCCCTTACCCTACTCTACCATATCATATTTTATCTCATACTACTCAACACTTCAACCTACAGTACTCTACCCTACTCTTCCCTGCACAATTTTACCCTACTCTTTCCTACCCTACCTTAAGCTATCCCACTCTACCCAACACTACCATACACTACCCTACCTTACCCTACCATACCACACCCTACCCTATCTTAAGCTATCCCACTCTACCCAACACTATCATACACTACCCTGCTCTACTCTACCCCACCTTCTATAACTTTTAAGCCCCACTTACCGCTTAAAAGTCTTGGTAACATAGCTCGGATGAGGTTGAAGAACAAATGGCATCTTATTAAACTTGGGAAACTGATTGTGCTCCACCACGTCCAGTACCCATTGTGGTAGATGGTCCCTTAGCATGGCACTCTCGGTCGGATTGGCCGTGTCTTTGACCGTCGTCCGGAAGATCGGCCGACCCGAGTCTTCGGTGTAATTCCATATTAATATGGGGATATGTTTGGGGAAATGGAAGTAGCCATGTAATGGTGACTCGATTTCGTCGTCTTGAAATGAATATGGCCATAGCTCGAATAGTGATCGCAACAGTAGGCCACCAAAGTTGGCCAGGGGCTTGTTTTCGGTTTCTTCGTGCTTTTCGGCCGCTTCTTTGGCCGATACCCATGCTGAGAAGACGTCGGATTCGTCTAGTGTGATTTCCAAGAGCTAAAAAGCGTAGATTATTTAATTTTCTGAACCAAAACCTTTTGGTATCGTCTAATCTGTGGCCCCATTTGTTATCTTTGAGTCCCACCACGAAAACCCTGAAAATCAGGTACAATAGCTAAACAATCGATAAAACATCACATGATAAAACAACACTTTTTGGGCCATTAAAAATGCAATATTATTTTCTTTGCAATTGTTTACCATTTGGGTCCCACCACGAAAACCCTAAAACTCAGAAAAACTTGCTCAAATGTCTATAATCAATTTTAGTACATAAAACATTTCTAAGCCATAAAAATACCACAATACAAGGTTTTTTTTATTTTTTCTTCACTTTTGGGTCCCACCACGAAAACCCTGAAAATCAAGAAAAGTCAAAACAGCCAAAAAGCCCAAAAATCCCCTTATTATTAAAAAATAACATTTTTAACCTACCCCGCTCTTGACATTCACACTAAACCACGAAGGCACAAAGACTTTCTTAAAGTTCTCCTTGATCACATCCTCCATGTTCCTTTTGCCTTCATTCGATATCTTTCGGCCTTGTAGTATGTCCCAGATGTGAATATTGTTCTCGGTATCTCTTGTCACCACATGTCGTCGGTCATTTAGTACAGAATGTTGTCGGATTGAGGGTGCTCCTTCCAGTACAATATCGGGTTTTTGGTTGTTTATCATTGAGTCTGGCATATAGTCCTCGTAGGTGGTATCCGGTCGTTTCAGGGGCCAACGGTTGATATTTGAGGACCAGGTGGTGGTCCAGACATGCGTTGGGCGGTCCGCGTCATTGATTTGGAGCTAAATCAGTATTTTTATTACAAAACTTGCCAAATGTTTCAATTTTGAATAATTTGACGAAATGTCAAAAATCAATAAATTTTTTGACATTTCGTTAACTTTCAAAAAATCATAAAATACGCCTTTCTAATCCTAAAAACAAGTTAAAAACAGTTTTTAACACCAATTAAACGCAATGCAAAAAATCAATAAATTTTGTGACTTTTCGTCCAATTTCCAAAAAGTGCCCCAAACTGTATTTTATTACCAGAAAAATCAAAAAATATAGTTTTATACATCAAAATACCATCTAAAATTCACTTTTTTAAACGTTTCTTACCCTTTGAATAGGTGAATCTTCTTGGAATAGTAATTCAGATGAGTCGAGATCGTTAATATAAGTTTTGCAGCAGCTTCTATCCCGACTGCCACTTAATACATATGAAAAATTTGAGTCTGTTTGCAGAGCCCATACACTGTCATTATGACAGGAAATGACACCTATGCATCTTTGTTGACCAGTGCTCCATAGGCGAATGGTACCATCACTACTAGCACTTAGACACTGTAAAATACGTTTTTACAAAAAAAGCAATTAAAAGTGCAATACTATGTCAATAAAAACACAAAACGAGATCAAAACCAAAAATTACAAAAATCAATAAATTTGTGAGACTTCGTCAAAAATCCAATAAATTTGTAACATTTCGTTCCACGTCCTCAAAAACGTAGCATTCGTCAAGATTACCTGTGTACCGTCCCGATTCATCCTTATAGCTCTAATATTGTCGGTATGGCCTCTTAATTTGCATATCTTTTTACAACTTCTTGGATCCCAGATTCTGAGGACGTTTTCGGTCGATCCTGCTACTACAACTTTGCCATCTGGATTCATGGCAATGGAATAGATACTGTTCTTGCTTCCGTGCAGTGAAGAAGCTGTAATCATAATGTTTTAATCCGCTTTGATACTTCATAACCAAAAAAAATTTTTGATTTTGGTCCCACCACGAAACTTTTTAAAGCCTTGGCATTGTGTTTTAGACCTTTAAACAAGTTCAGCAAGCAAATTTAAGTCTTGTAAAGCTATTATAAATTTTTTAAAAAGTCTGTTTTAATGAAAAATGGCATTTTCCTAACCTCAAAATTGGTCCCACCACGAAATCTTGAAAACCCTATTTTCTCCCAAAAAAATCTATAAAAATGAAAACCAAACTCACTAGTGACAGTATTATTGATGGCAGTCAGTTTCGTCAACGTATTCACATCCCACAAGTATATACATCTGTCCAATCCGGCACTAGCGATCATTTCCGTGCCTTGTGAGCAATATGCCAAACAACGAACACAATCCTTGTGTGTCCTCAGGGTTGACATGCAAAAACCTTTGCGTGTGTTCCATACCTTTACGGTGGTGTCGGATGAGGCCGAGATTACTGTAATTTTGGCGTTATTTTTTGATTTTTAGCCATTTTTCTTGAAATTTTGAGTTCTTTTCGAATTTTTGGGTTTTTTTTTTCATTTTCTATGGCAAATTTTTCCAGATTTTTAAATTATATGGTATCTTCATGGCCTTCTACTTCAATATATCCTCATTTCCATCCAATTTCACCCTTTATTCCCTCAGGAAATCGAGCCAAAAGCCAAAAACCTACAATAAGTTGGATTTGAGCACAAAACCAGATCGTTAACCCAGTCATAATGATGTTCCATTGACATTAGGTGTCGTTGCGAAGCTCCTCGAGGTTTTGTGTCACTTGAGGCGTCCCATTTTCGTATTATCATATCACTGCCACCTGAATACAACGCCTCTTCCACTGGATCGAAGGCAAGGCAATTGACAAAGGATCTGTGTCGATATTCCACTTCATCGCGAATTATGAACGAGATCTAAAACTTTTTTTTAAAATAACTTTTTTACACCTTTTATATGTCGTATTTTACATCTTTAATCGTTTTTTTAATCTGAATTTGTTAATATAACAAAATTTCAACAATCAATAATTTTTGTGACACTTTGTCAAACTTTCAAACATGTGTAAAAACTCATCTTTCGTTACTAAAAATGTCACTTCAGACGTTTTTATGCAAAAATGACAGGTTTCCAAAAAACAATAATTTTTGTGACATTTCGTCAAATTTGTTTTTTGTGACATTTCGTCAAATTTTGAAAACTTATGGAAATTAAACTCATTTTTGTATACAAATAATGTCATTTAAAAGGTTTTATTCCAAAATACAAGGTAACCAAAAGCCAATAATTTGTGTGATATTTTGTCAAAATTACCCAATGTCAATACAAGAGTTTCTAAACCAAAAATTTTTTAATTTAATGCTTTGAAAGTTTTAAAATGTGTAAATTTGCTAACCTGCGTTTTCTTTTTCGGATTCGTCTGCATTTTCGGTCCAATTTATGTACAATCTATATTAAAAATAAAATCAGTGGATGGAGCCCGTATTTTACGCTCTAATCATACCCTTATGTACAATGAGCTAGATTATCTGAAATTACAAAAAAAAAAATAAAACTTCAAAAAATTAACCTCCCCAAGCAAAAAATATTTTTAAAATTTACCCCGCCCAAAACATTTTGCCCCGCCCAACTTTTGTTACCCCTCCCTGAACTAAAACTACGTCTTGTACTAACACAACATAGAAAAATAAAAATTATATTTTTAGTGGAAACTTGACCACGAGTTAAAACAAGATACCACATAATATTCGTATTTTAACAAGTTTATTAATAAATTACTGAACAAATATGATAAAGAGATCTTTACAATATTAACGTTTGTAAGGATAAAATACATTGTTATGATGGTAAATTACAATTTTTGTATTAGGCTGTCAAAAACAAAACATGGGGCGAAAAAAGTTAGTACTACATAGCACAACGTACTATATAGCACTTAGTACTATAACACATAGTACTGTATAGCGAATAGTGCTATTTTTTTTACACAGCACGTCGTACTATATAGCACATTGTACTGTATAGCGCATAGTGTAACAAAAGAAATCGTATCATACAGCACACAGTACTGCATAGTAAATCGTGTATATAGCACATCATACTGTATAGCCCATTCCCGTTTCCCAGCCGCTCATACAATTAAGCACACCGCCTCTCCACAATAGCCTTGCCACTCTCTTCGTACTCAACTTTGGATATCCAAAGTTGTTGAAAAGTTCCCAATGAAGCCACAATCGATCCGCCAATCCACGCGCCGTACTTTCGCTCGTTCGGCTGAGATTGTGGTACTCGAAGCTTTACGGTGGAGTTGCATTTTTGTGCCAAATCGTGATTCAAACGTTCTGTGAAGCCCATAATCAAGGAGTTGCCACCTGTTACCAGTAGGTTGCCGTAGAGGTGCTGAAAATTAATTTTTTTTAATTTTAGGTAACATTTTCATTTTAAAATCTTTAAAAAGCAAATTTTAGGTAACATTTTCAATTCAAAATCTTTAAAAACGAAATTTAGGTAATATTTAAACTCAAAATTACAAAAAAATCAAATTTTAGGTAACACTCCTCCTCAAAATAAAAAAAAAATCAAATTTTAGGTAGCATTTCCCCTCAAAATCCCAAAAAACCTTACCGGCCTCACATCCACATCACACATGCCAGCTGAAGTGTGTGCTACTTGAGATACGTCCAGTAGAGTCTCCTTTACATCACCATGCCCTTCCAGGAACTTCAAATCGAACAAACTTTCCGGGATTTTGGCCCGTTCCGATAGGAAATCCTTCCTGAATCCGCATGGAAATCCGTATGAAGAAGCTGGAAGTTTCTCCATAAAGTCCAGATCAATCGGGGAATCACATAGCTGGAGGGTAGATTGGGCAAAGTCTTCCACTAGTTGCTGAAATTTTAAATTTTTAAAATATGTAAAGAAAGTTCTTGCCAGTTTTGTTTTGTAAAGAAAGTTCTTGCTATATTTTGCTTTGTAAAAAAAGTTCTTGCCATTTTTTGTTTTGTAAAGAAAGTTCTTGCCATTCTTTTTCGTAAAGAAAGTCCTTGCCATTCTCATACCTTTTTCATGAAATTCTCATAAGATTCGGTGACTGGAGGTAATTTCTTGGCCGTCCAGACAGGTTTCTTCCCATCATCAACCTCTCTCTTTGATTTGATCTTATAGTAAGGTACCAGATCAATATTCTGTTGAGCTAGAACTCGTTGACATTGATCTACGATCATGTCTCCTCCTACAGGACTCTTTACCACGGCTGAAAAATAGAGTTTTAGTTACGTTTCTTTCAGTTTCAAGTTTTTGCCTTTTTACCGTTTCTTATTAATAATAGTGCCATTTTCATTCAAACTTTTAAAAAATATAACTTTTCAAGCTTCTCAAAGTCTTTTCCATCCAATAAAACAACTCCCTAAAAGCCAAAAACAAGAAAAAACCAAAACAAACCATTTAAAAGTGGGTATCCTTCATATACTGGACAAGCTGATGTATAAGTGGCTCCACTGTCCAATACCAAACCAGCTGTTCGCCCAGCAGCAAAAGTAGTTAGTACAGCATTTTTTACAAGATAAAATGAAGGTACACCATACTTTTCAAACATCAATTCAGCCAATTTCTCTCGTTTATCCTTTTGATTCCACTGAAAATTGTAGTTAATATTTAGAAAAGCGTCATAACTTAATGGCACCTTAACGTATCTTTAAATTTTAACTAGATTAAGCTTTAATCAAGTTATAATAACCGATGGAGGTAACAATACCCTAAGTTTCACACATAAAATTCAAAAAATCGAAAAGAAAAGCAAAAACTTACTGGAGCCTCAGAAAACAGCGTTCCATGGTTCTTACTGTCAGTTTTCAAACATCCATTGTAAGCATAATCCATCATCTGTTCAAACAGCTCCCAATCATCAATTTGAGAATCCTTCACAAAGTGTTTTATCTCGCAATTCTCGCGAGGTACGTTAATATTCTGTGTTCCAATAAAATAATCTTTCTTTGGTGCTGGTTTTGCTTCATTATCGACTTCCATAGACTCTTCTGTACGTTCTGTAACTTTTTGATAATCTGTTCGTTCACGTACTCCAACTGCAGATGGAATTACTATCTGAAATTTGAGATTTTAAATATTAAAGTGAATGTTAAAGTAGTTAATCTAAAAGTGAAGAAAAAGAAAAAATAAAGTTTACCTTTGGATATTCTTCACCTCCATAGCCGCACCTGAATGTGTGTGCACCAATATCAAACACAATTGCACCAACATCATCTAAAAACAAAGTGATAAAGCAAATTATATTATCACAGACAACAGCCAAACTACTTTCTAAAACTAATGAAAAACATTACCTTCTGTTATTCTAATTTTATAGCATGTATAATAAGTAAAAATACATTTTTCTATGTTTTACATTGTTCTTCAAATAAAAAAGTAAAACTAAAAGCAAAGTAAAATCTAACTTAATATCATACCTCCTCCATATAGTCCTCCACTCATTTTTATTCAAAAATAGCTGGTTATAGCAATCTTCAACGCTTTGTTATATTATTCTCAAGGAGATTTTTCAGAAAAAAAATTCGGCATAAAAATATTTAAACGCGATTTATTGAAGCGCAGGGTTTTCGTTGCGTGACCAAATTAATTCTCCGATGTAAAATATTTTTTCTCAATTTTAATAAAATTTTTGGTAATGACGAGGCCATCGTTAAGTATGGAGATGCTAACATTGAGAGAACTGAGAAAATGGACTGGGATAACACCATTCGAGCTGTTGTTACACTTGGTTGCTATTTTTGTGTCTACTATACTATTTGTGAGTTGTTTTATTGTTTTTAGCGTTTTGAAGACTTATCATTTATTGTAATATATTCTTTAATATCTTTTACAGCTGTTAATATTATTGTTCACAGCTTTTTAGTAATGTTTAGTTTTTAGGCAGCAAAATGGTTCGGGTTGGTAACAATAAGCTATTGGCACGTTTTCGGCTCAATGTTCTTGGCCGCTGGCTTGAATCTATACTTTGTTTTTATTGTAGCATTGAGAGTATACGTTGAGGAGAAGCAACTACGAAGGTTTTTGGCAATGTAAGTTTGTTTTTCTCATGTTTTCTGGTTTTAGGTAGCAAACTTGATGTTATGATAGAGACAGCTCAGCTCATAACTAATTTATAAATGCCCCTGACACTCCAAATCTTTAGGCATTTGTTCAGCTTTCTACGAGCATCAATGCACGGCTTGTTTTTAATGTTTTTGTGTCAAAAGATTGAAGGAGACTTTGAGCATGGTCAAGTTGCCATTCAGACTAGTTATGGTGTTGTTTTTATGCCAGTTTGGATCCTGTTGGCTGGATTAGCTGGTCAGATGGTTAGACTAATATGATTTGCTTTGTGTTATGGAGAAATTAGGGCAATTAACATTGAATTACGTGTTATATGTTATGATTTACATTGTTCTCAACCTTTTATACCTCAAAGAAGCGCCGGTAACATCGATCTCAATATTGCTTTATTATATAGCAAAGTTTTAAGAATATAGAATAAAATTAATATAAATTACATTAAAAGTTAATAATGCAGACTTGCAAGGCTAATAAAAATACCGTTTTAGCTAAAATAATATGTTTTTTTACAAAAAAAGTAATATTTTTTGAGCAAAAACCGATTCTCTCTAGGTATGACCATCATTTTATGGTCGTTTTCTCATTGAAAGTAATGTGAAAAGTGGGAAAAAAGATTCCACTACCTCATTTGGTCACTCATGGGCCTTCTCTAATGACATTGACAAGTTCCCGCTGTGCTTTCGCGCAAAAAATACGTTTTTTTCGAATTATCTTGGGTTTATTGGCATGATAAGTGTTAGTGGTAATGGTATTTCGAAGAGTTTTTGAATTTTTTTTGATTTTGGGAGATATTTAATTATTTCTTGTGTTGTAAAGAAAGTTCTTGCTATTTTTTGCTTTAGTAAACAAAGTTCTCGCCATTTTTTGTCTTGTAAAGAAAGTTTTTACCAGTTTACGTTAAAAAATCAAGTTTTTAAATTCTTATCAATGTTGACATAAGTGTGTCGTGACCCGTGTCGCATAATTAGACTAATCCTTTTGGATAAGCCACTTATCAATCATAAGATAATGTTTTTTTAAATCAATGCCAAAACTTATAATCTATAAAGAATGACAAGAATTTTCTTTCCAGAACGATAAATGGCAAGAACTTTCTTTACATGACTTAAAATAGCAAAAACTTTCTTTACAAATCAAGAAATGGCAAGAACTTTTTTTTACAAAACAAAAAATAGCAAGAACTTTCTTTACATGGCGAAAAATGGCAAAAACGTTCTTTTCAGGACGAAAAATGGCAAGAACTTTTAATTCGTATATTTTATTCCCACAGTAACTACTGCAACCCCAATTTTACGCTACAGTAACTCCCGCTGCCAGAAACCATATTTATGTCCAGAACCATATTATCCATCTTAATCTAATTAACTTTCTCTATCGTATTATAACCGTCCTCCGCTTTCTTTACACTATCTAACAAAAGTTTCACGGTAAGTTGTCGTATCTCGGTTCCCGAAGATAATTAACGGATGTTGCGCAATAATTAGTCAAGATTGGGTTGAGATTTGACAAATTAGGGAAGAGGAATAAACTTTTGGCACAGTCATTTGTAACTTCTCGAAAAAGTTGGGGTAAAAGGAGTTACGGTAGTTTTGGATGGTTTTTCTAATCTTTTGACGCTTTTCAGGCTTACTGTAGAACGGAGAAGGATATAATTAGTATGGGGGGACAGGGCAAAACGTGATCCAGAGTGAGATATGGCAGGTTACAGCATGGCAGGATAGGCTATGGGATGATTGGGATCAAATAACAGGAAAGAGTATAATATGACGTGTAAGGTAGGATAGAACATGGCAATACATGATCAAGTAAGGTAGCTATTTTTTATTTTGTCAAGAAAGTTCTTGCCATTTTTTGTTTTGTAAAGAAAGTTCTTGCCGTTTTTTTGTTCTGTAAAGAAAGTTCTTGTCATTTTTTGTTTTTTAAAGGAATTTCTTATCATTTTTTTGTTCTGTAAAGAAAGTTCTTGCCATTTTTTGTTTTGTAAAGAAAGTTCTTGTCATTTCTTGTTTTTTAAAGGAATTTCTTATCATTTTTCAATGTTGTAGACAAAGTTTCTTCTCTTTTTTCTATTTCCCAGCCAAATCTAAAACAATGTTGTTCATATGGCCTGATGGTATTAGCAGTAAATGTCATTAAAATAAATGTGCAGCCCGCAAAAACACCTTGTTTTATTGTTTTTGATCAACTTTTAGCGCCAAATCAATCAGAAAAGTGTCTTTGAGGGCGACTGAAGGAGATTTACGAGCTGGGAAATGTTTGTTTTTGTTACTGTAATGTAAACTTTTTAATTTCTTTTTGAAATTTTTGTACTTTGATGTTCTGGAAAGAAAGTTTTTATCGTTTGTAGGACTGGATAGGGCACGTTATAGAGATGGGCAGGGGAAAGGTAGAAGAGACTAAATATTTTTTGGGGAGTAGCGTAGAGTATGGCGGGACAGTTTTGAATACGGTAGGGTAGGCCAGGCTTTATTAAAATAGGGTAGGCTAGGCTTGATTAAGATAGGATAGGCTAGGCTTTGTTAAGGTATTCTAAGGTTGGTTAGGGTAAGATAGGCCGGGATTGACTAAAGTAGAGTAAGGCAGGACAGGGTAGGGCACGAGACATTAGAGTACGTTAGACCAGTATGGTGTAGACTAGGCTGGGTTTGAACCAGGTAGGTAGGACAGGATATGGCAAGATAAGGTAGAGTAGCTAGGCCTGGCTAAGGCAGAACAAGGCAGGTTAGGGTAGTAGACAGTAGGGTATGGACAAGCAGAATAATGTAGGGTAGGGTGGGATAAGGTAGGGTAGCGTAGGGTATTGTAGGGTAGGGTAGGGTAAAGTTGGGTAGAGTCGGGTGGTTTAGAGTATGATAGAACTAACTCTAACAAGCTACTCTTGGCACTGTAAACAAAGTTTTCGCAATTCTTTTTTGATTTGTCATCATGACATTTTAATTAGCATCCAGATAAGCCCAAAACTGGCTTAATTAAGCAGATTGGCATGAGAAAAATCCACTAATTACCTAAAATTCAACCGCAAAAGTTCACATATTGCACATTATTTTGATTATTATCGCATTTCGACTTCTCATAAACTTTGCGCAATCGGAACAGACGGCCCAAGTGCAAGTTTTAATTATAATTGGCACTAACTTTAAGTTTTTAAAAGTTTTTTTTTAATTTTGTTGAAATTTAAGGCCAAAAAGACAAAAACTTTGTTTACAAATTTTTAAAAGGCAGAGTTTTAGAGGTGGAAGTTGAGTGGAAGATTTGTAATCTATTTTGCACTGAAAATCTTCCATCCAACTTCCATTTTTAAAATGCCTTAAAGTGGCCTGAAAACACGTTTTTGAGACATTTTAGAAGTGGAAGTTGAGTGGAAGATTTTCAATGTATTTTGCACTAAAAATCTTCCACAGAACTTCCAACTCTTTAAAAAACTGCCATTTTCTCAAAACAAATACAATAAGGAAGAGTTTGACACAATTTCCACTGTTTTTTAATAGTTTTGAATCACTTTTCGAGTCATTGAAACTCTTGTGCTTCTTTAAAAGGAACCGCATGGGAAAACGAAGAAATTAGCTCAATCTACCGTAAGACTCATTTACAACTGTTTTTTATGTTATAGTTGAAAAGGAGTGGCAGTCAAGTGGTCAGTTGGAAATGTGAATCTTTTTGTTTTTGAGGTGGAAGTTGAGTGGAAGATTTGTAGTGTAATATGCACTAAAAATCTTCCACTGAACTTTCCATTTAAAAAAAGTCTTAAAATGGCCTAAAAAGGCGTTTTGACAACTTTTTGGAAGTGGAAGTTTGGTGGAAGATTTTTAGTGTAAAATACATTAAAAATCTTCCACTCAACTTCCACTTTTTATAAAGGGCCATAACTTTTTACGAAAAAAGGAATTGGTTTGAAGTCTGTTTTGGATGAAAAATGGCAAGAACTTTCTTTACAAGCTAACAAATGGCAAGAACTTTCTTTACAAAACCAAAAATGGCAAGAACTTTCTTGCCAAACGTCATTTCCACGTCATTTCCAGACCAAACGTATCACGCCTTCTTTGTTTATGAACTTCAGCCGACCAGTCAATTGTCAATCCTTCATTCATACAGCCCTTATGGCCGACTTTATTGTTGAATTTCAAAAGACCCGGACCCTTAAGTGCGATGCAAATATTTTTTTCGTGGAGCGACAATAGGCGTCGCTTTTGTAAGATACAGGACATGAAATCTGGCCCCGAATCTTTGGTTTTTTTTCGATTTTTTGATCGAAAAATTTGTCGCTCTCTTTCGCTTTTCCTTTTTTTCCGACTTTCAAACTAGGGTTTGGCAAATTTGGATTCTATTTTTTTTTTAAATTTGATAAATTTTTATCATTTTTGTACCAATTTACCCTATTTTCTTCATCCAGCTTTAAAATGCCCTGCCTTGCTTTGCCCTACCCACATTTTGCCTTGCCTTACTTTGCTTTTGCTTTTACTACCCTGCCATGCTCTGGTTGTAAATTGATATTTCATGCGCTGTCCTACTTTTCCCTACCCTCTTATACCCTATTAAAATCAATAAACACGGCATTTTTAAAAAATGAAAGTTGAATGGAAGATTTGTAATGTAATTTGCACTGAAAATCTTCCACTCAACTTCCATTTTAAAAATGTCTTAAAATGGCCTAAAAACACGTTTTTGACACTTTTTAAAGGTGGAAGTTGGGTGGAAGATTTTCAGTGCAAATTACACTACAAATCTTCCACTCAACTTCCACTTCTAAAAAGTGTCAAAAACGTGTTTTTATGCTATTTTAAAACAATTTAAAATTGAAAGGTAGGTGGAAGATTTTCAATGCAAAATACATTACAAATCTTCCACTCAACTTCTATTTTTTTAAAATCATATTTTTCTACATTTCGTATCAGCTCTGACTTGATTTTTGCAAAATTTTATTTTTTTGCACTTTTATTAGGGCCCTGAAGTCATTTGTTATTTGGACTCGTGTTATCAAAAATATTTACAACAAAAGTCGGTCTAATCATCATATTCGACTACTTTACACTCTTCATTTCATGTTTTGTCTAAAAGTTTTTGTTTTATGTATTAAAGTGCAGGATTTGGACTGTCTGGATTTCGAATTTCAATCGATTTTGAATTTTGTTTATTTTGTTAAAATATAAGTTTTTGATTATGAAAATTGATAAAATGCAGTTTTTTATCGATTTGTTTTGGATTTTTGGGCTGATTTTGTTTTGCAAAAACAGTTTTTAGTTCAATGGGTTAGGCTTTATGG